TTCAAGCTGAATGAAGGCTTGGGAACAAAGTGACATGAGAGTGTTTTGAAAAGAAAAGAGGGGTCTGTGTTTTTGGATTATTATTCTGCGGGTGGTGTATATATAGCTAGTATGCGAGATCTTGTCGACAGGTTGTAGATAAAGGTTCGCTTGCTATCAGGAGTTTGCTCCAATCTTGAATATTCAACTATTATACCACTTCCTGCCTTGCTGTAGGGCACTGACTGGAATCCCATAGACTGTAGAATGAATAGCACGAGAATAACATCATTTGAATCTATAGATCAACCATTCATCAATGAAGAGGGATAAATTTTGTATCTCTATTCTCACCACATCTTACTTATGATTGTCAATTATCTTCTTGCCGCTCATACCATACACCGAGAGACAGGGTCCGAACTCCATTAACGACAACTCAACAAGTTTACACACACCGACAAAATCCTCCATCATCAGATATTACACCTGAGAGTATTGAGTGATAAGAATAACTCGCAGGTTGTCGAGAGAATTCACGGCTTTCACATCATGTCATCCTTAGATCAATAGAGCTTCGAACTCTCGACTCCCCTGCGCAACTCAGTAATCTCCCTTTCAAGCGCAGTGTGCATTACGGTATCTGAGGTTTAAATAGGTACGTAGGTATGTTTAAATACCATGATATTAGTTGGTGATTAATGTACCAGTCGGCCATCAATGAATGACTCAGTCGTCTGATCTCCACAAAAGTGATGGAAAATCATGAATAAATAATTAGGAGCCTTACTTTTCATCTCCCTTAGTATTTAAACGCGTTTTTATATCAAGATTATGGAAATAGATGCAAGGATTTCTAGAGCGTGGATGTTTTAGTACTTTTACCCGTATAAAATTGTTCCTTCGATGTGAGTCTGTGGTGAGGAGAAATATGGATGGGAGATCCCCGAAATGGAACGAATGTTTTGAGTGATTTGCTTGAGTGTATAGTTTTGTGTTTCTCGATGCGAGGGAAGAGGTGTGGTTTTTTCTTTTTTTCTTTCCATAAACGTGGAGTCTGAGTTGTTAATCGAGTGTTGTTGCTAGGTTTTATTACTTCGCTTGTTGGTTTGGGTTTTCGTTGTCGGATACTTGATTCGTGTTATTGTCGCTTGTTGTATTGATAATAAGTCAGATTAGCATAGTATATGTATTTGCACCGATATTGTCTTTATTATTACTTTCGCTCCTCTCAACTGTATGTTATGACGTCGACGGCATACAAGTTGACAACATCATTCATCAACAACCACAGCAGCAGCAGCTCAGTTAAGTTTGAGAGAGTTGGGAGGGACGCAAATAGTTTCTCTGTTCTTTTAGCACTGAGCTGCGCACATGCAAGAGTAAAACATCTCATGAACAAAGCTCTTGCTCCTATCCGTATACCCAATTGGTTAACTTCTTGAGAGTTTTTGTGTGATGAACTAGTTTAAGGTCAAGCGGAGCTTTTTATACGTGGGAAAATGGAATATTTTTGAAAAAGTGAGATGGATGACTTCAAGGGGGTTAGTAGCTAAGCTTTAATGTCCAAACTCGAATCAGATGGATGAGGTTCATGATACGTGGTGCCAGGAGTCCTTGTGATAAGATATGAGTTTAGGTATATAAAGCCCCCGAGATACACATTACTCTGCATGACACTGGGAATGAAGAACAAACGCTCAAAAATCTTAGGTATTCCTGGCCCTCAAACACATACTGAATATTACCCAATTCCAAGAACTGTGTATCTGCAAGTGTGATTTACCCGGCACACAGGTAGGTAAGAGCTCTGATAGATAAGTGCCGGCGGTCAATCCAATTTCTCGACAATAAATTACCCTCTCAGCGGTAAAAGGTTCCATGAAGCGAAACGAGATCCTGGATGGCAAAATTTCGAACATTAATCGATCGTTGTCCTCGTTGTTTCTGGTCAGGAGTCAGCTTTATGGCTCGCTTGAGGTTTCACTTGCCCGAGGAGTATGATGATCAGAATAGTATCTGTTTTCCATCTCCTGGTTTCTCCTTATTCCTCTGATCATAATTTTCCTCCCTCGTAATTGGCTAGCGATATTTTTGGCCCGTTTTAACCATCATCAAAGGTTCTATTCAACGCCCATTCATGTACTTTTATTGTCATAAAATATTGCCATTGCCAATAATACGAATCACAAATTACACTTGGAAGTTCCTTTTACCTTATACCTCGCCCTTGATAATAGAGAGAACTTGAGCTCCAAAAACGAATATCAGCTTTGCAAAAAAAGTAGATCGATTCCAGTTTCTGAACTCCTTTTTTTGTACGATGAGGTGCTAAGAATTGTTGGTAAGAAGATATTATTTCCATTTCATAGCTATTTATACTAGAGCAGTGGAGCCCAACATAGTACGAGCCCTCAAGACGGAGCTAGAAGGAAATTTCACGTGCGAGGAAAGTTTAACTGCACGACTGTAATCCTCACTCCGCAATTCGTGGGTCTGTATACCTGAGTCTATTGCAGAAAAAGTATTATCCCCTAGACTGCCAACAAAGGACACCTCGCTCTATTGACCAATCAGAACATCAGAAATTTGAGAATTCTCATTATTGAAATATAAGGTTTTTATAATAATTATCAACTGTTTATAATAATATCTTTTAAAATCATTTCACAATTATTTTCAATAAAAAATAACATAGATATATACTTGATATATTTATTATCATTTTTTTAAGAAATTTCAGATTTCAAATTTAATATAAAGGCTTTTTATATAATATCATTTATTGAATTATTAATAATTGAGCTCGTGCACGGACTATTTAAGGTGTTCTAAGCCGGCAGTCTAGGGGATATGAGTATAAAATCCCTTTTCCTCTTCTTTTTACTTCCCTTGAGCAAGATTAAGGAATGGACAATTCAAACTCATAGGAATCTTCCGAAAGTACCTACAGCGATATTTTTAGAGAAGTAAATCGATGCGGAATCATAGCTGTAAGGTTATTGTGATATTTTGATATCGATTCCATGACAAACTAACAAATGACAATGAATGTGTGGGATATCTAGAAATCACCATACTCGCAGAACTCATTACTTGCATTCTTCCTCAAACAATAGTAAATACATATCGCTTGATAAAATACATCAAATCACAACAATAAATATACTTAGACAACGATATTAAACGACTCACTGTCTAATCTGCTTGATACAGCTGATAGATGCCCATTACTAGTAATACGAATACGAATACGAATACCACAACCACAAACTCCATGCAATACCTAAAAATCAAACCGAACAGAAAAAGAAAAACCATTTATCAATTACAATCACAATTACAATCACAAGCACAGAAAATACCACCCCTTTCCCCCATCCAAAAAGTAAATAAACAATTCCATTTCCAACCGCGGAATTTCTCCTTCTTTCCTCAAATTCACATACCCTTATCCATATAAGTATGGGCACAACACTAAACCTCTCACTCTCTAGTATCTAATATCTAGCATCTAGTAACTATCTACCATCTCCCAAACCTTAATCCCCACCCATCACTCCACAGACTAGCAAGTCGTAGCCCTCTCCCAAAACGCGGAAAACACCCTCATCCTCGATCGATGGTTTGTGCTTCGTGTATGTGTGGTTAGTGCTTAGAGTTTACCCCGCGTTTTATGGTGGAGGCGAAAGGGAGATCTGCATGCTAGCTTGAGGAGCTTGAGGAGCTTGAGGACTTGTGCGGCTGGAAAGGATCTAGGAGCTAGGGTTGAGATACTTCACTTAGAGGTATTTCGTAGATGGTGGGGAGCTAGAAGATGTTTGATTGAGGGAGTGAGGTGTGGGTGGTGGGTTGGGTATTTTTTTTATAAAAAAAAAAGATTAAAAAATTGGGATAAATCTTTAGTTAGCTAGCTCGATGATTGGTAGGGTTTGTGAGGTTGAGATGGGGGATGGGGGATAGGAGCATAGGAATAGGGAGCTGGGTAGAATTCCTCTGAAAGGGGAAGGGAAGGTAAGTGGGTGCGAGGTTATGGAAGGAAGTCTGGTTGAGGTGGGCAGAGGGGAGGATTGTTGGGGGTGGAAAGAGGCGGATGAGGAAGACGGGGTGGAGGAGATATGAGGGAAATGGATGGTTAGATAATTGGATATCATAAGAAGGGGCAAGCATAAAGATTTAGAAAAGATAATCAAAGTCGACATTGAAGATATTGAAGATATATTCCGTAGGGTAATACAAATGACACTGAAAATTATGTAAAAAATTCCTGTAGTAAAAGTAACCTCATTCATAAACATATAAATTTCAGAGAAAGTAAAGCAGAGCGGAGAAAAGTTGAGATAGGTACCTACTTGTACTATTTTCTACACACTTGTAATAAATAGATACATCGACGCATATCATACAAGATAGATCAAGAGAGCATTTCCAAGGCTTTAGATTCCTATAGATTGATCGCACGCAAGCTGGGAATGGGTTGGGGTGTTTTGGAAATGTATTCCTGGGGGATTATATTAGAGGGGGAAAGAGAAAATGCAAAGGGGTAAGAGAGAGCTTTGGATACCTACTGGGGAATGATAGGAAATTATTATGGTGAAGGGGATAGTTAAATGTTTTATATATGGAGTGTGCAGTGGGAATTTGATCGCAATGAACTCAAGAATTAAAGATGAGTTAGATACACTGCCAAAGATTGAATGTGACCACATTAGAAACAGAGATATCACAAACATCAAATTTACCAATTGCAAGAGGGAAGATATTTATTTGAAATATCATAAAACATATTATTTGTATCATGCATGCGTATTTACAATGCCATAAACTCGTAAAAGACCACTCGTAAGGATATCCTAAAAACCCTTTCAGGACCGATTGACCCGACCAATCCAGGTCCCCCAAACACCGTGAATTACCGTGATAGCATCACCCTTGAAATAAAACCGCCACTTTATTACAACTCGACTCTGTCGAATTGTTCATTACATATTTTTCTGCTACTCATGAGTTCATAAACTCATCTAAACCTCGAGCTTTTGAGCTCCATGTTCAGCGTGTTGAACATGCTCAACACCAGTCTTGTCGGTCATGCCCATATCAGCGGCATAGGTAGAGTGAGGAACCCATTTGGCGGAGTTACGTGGGGTAGTCTCTTCCAACATGCGGTCGACTTGCTCGAGGGAAAGACCCTTGGTTTCGGGAACAAGGAAATAAGCATAGACCAAACAACATGTGCAGAGGGAACCCCAGAGGAAGAAGACCTTGGCACCCAAGTTTGCTTGGCCAGATTCGGTACCGACGAGGTAAGGAGTGATGACGGCAATGATACAGTTCCAGAGCCAGTTGGAGGCAGTGGAGAGTCCAACACCACGGGATCTGATTGGGAGAGGGAAAACTTCACCAATAACAACCCAAGCTCCAGGTCCCCAAGTGGAGGCGAAGAAAGAGATGTAGATACAGATGAATGCGATCATGGCGGAAACGGCAGAGGTGTTGTGTTGGGATGAACGACCAGCGGTAACACCGATGATAGCGACGATGAACTCGCAGATTAACATACCGAGGGCACCCCAGATGAGGATTGTACGACGACCGAAACGTTCAACGGTGTAGAAAGAGATTGGAGTGGAGCAGACGTTGACGAGGGTGGTGATCAAACCGATAAGGAAAGGGTTTTTGATCGTGCCGAGAGCTTGGAAGAAGGTAGTACCGAAGTAGAAGATGAAGTTAACACCGGTCCACTGTTGCATCATCTGAAGGGAAGTACCGAGGATGGTTCTGCGGAGGTTGGAGCCTGGGTTGCTGAGTCCTCCCTTGAAGCAGTTCATCCATGAGCCAAAGTAACCGGTTTGGGGAATGACGGACATTTCGTATTCATGGTTGGCGATGATCTCAGTAAGTTCTTGTTGAACGTAATCGCTTCCTTCTGGTTCACCTCTGAGACGAGCAAGGTTGGAAGCGGCCTGGTCGAGCTTGCCCTTCTTGACGTAATATCTTGGGGATTCAGGGAGGAAGAAGAGACCACCACCTAAGATAAGAGCCCATGCCATTTGAAGACCAATTGGAATTCTGTAGGAACCGGTATCGAGACGGTTTTGGGTACCATAATCGACACAAGATGCGAGGAGAAGACCGATGGTAACGCAGAACTGGTAACCAGAAACTAAAGCACCACGAACCTTCTTGGGGCAAATCTCGGACATATAAAGAATGATGGTAGCGGAGACGAAACCAACACCGAAACCAGCGACCAAACGACCAGCGACGAGAAGACCAAGACCGGTAGAAGCAGTTTGCAAGATGACACCGATGATGAAGATGATACATCCGAGGATGACAGTAGTTCGGCGACCAATCCAATCAGCCATGTCACCGGCCATGATAGCACCAAAGAAGGTACCGGCAGAGAGAATAGATGTGATCAAAGATTTATCCGAGGCGGGAAGAACGAAAGCAGCTTTCTCGGCAGCTGAAGCACCAATACCGGGAATTGGTTTGCCAGTCTGAAGGATAGTAGGTTAGCTAATGTTTTGTGATATGGGGTAATTGAAGTTATGACGAACATATAGATTAATGAAATAGTTCATTCCCATGACACCAGAGATATATCCAGAATCATAACCGAAGAGGATACCACCGAAGGACGCAAAAGCACACATCATGTATGCCTTTGCTGTTACGGGTGCCTCAATACGGGCAACATCCGTGGTTCCAGCCAATCCCGCTGTCATTGTTGCGGTTGACTTGAAATGTATGGGAGGGAAGAGAGAGAGGGAAAGGATAGAGTAGATGTAGAGTGAAGCTGGCACTCGAGATCAATTATTGATCGAAGAAGTATTGAATAGACTTTGTTGATGAGACTGATGGGGAAAAAAGATGTATTTGGGAGGGATTTCGAGTCCCTTTTGTATCTGTGTCCCATGGGAAATGGGGTACTGGGGTACGGAGTGAATTGGCATGGTTTACACGCTTGTATGGGGTGCTAGCGTTAGTACGGCCATGTCGCCAAAAAAGTCTTCCATATCTAATTGATCTAATTGACTCCAGATGGAGACGCCGCACTCCACAGCAAATAGCGTTACCCCATGTCTTCGATGATCTCTCTCCAGACGTCTAGACATGCATGCAGCTATGGCCCAGCCGAGGAGTTAGTCCGTGCGTGCAGTACCCCGAGTAATCGGTCCGTCTTTGTAAGGGATCAAGACTAACTGTACTAGGGACGGAGAAGAGTGTGAAAGTAGATAGGTACTGGACTAGGTAGCATCCTCGATTTTGGGGAATAATGTTTGATGAGTTGCAAGTATCGCTTGGCGGTCAGTATGAAAGTGTAAATGTGCTAACGGTATCGAGTTAGACAAGTATGTGATCGATTGGTTGATCAAGGCATTGTATGGTGCTAGATGCTTAAATCAGTCAGTGAATGAAATCTAATGATTATTAATTTTCTTTTTTGCTTTCTCATCTCATTTGCTGAAATGAAGGATTTGAAATTTCTTCTTTCGGGATTGCCCCCCCGTTCATGGTCTTGAATTGATCCAATCCTGTGGTTCGTACCATTCAAACTCACCGTCAGGGAAAGGGAGATCACGACTCTCATTGGCCTTGACTGATAATTGATAATCGATTTTAACGATTTATGCAATTACAATAATCCCAACTCCCAATTTCTCTCAACGGTATAGCCGATAGATGCTTATTGGGGATCCTTTTGGCCCCTCCACAAACTTTAGATCTGGAGAGTTTGATGCACCTGAGATCTCTCGAGCCTCTTTCGTGGCAACTTGGAGTCTTGGAGTCAGATGTTTCTTACACCAGCTTGTGGATCTTCAACAGTAACGTTGTCGAAGAACATCACGATAGCAATAAAGATATGCACGCTCGAGGCAAAGTACGTACACAATTGACCGAATTTCATAAATATATCAGATATCCTAGTTGAGGATCATTTCATGCATCAACCCCCCATGTTCAAGACTTCAGAGGCGATGGAATTCAAGCCATCGACGTGATCAATCGTTGGATGTGAAACTAATTCGTCTTAGTACGCTTAATTTGTTGTTCCTACATACTTCAATCTAATGACTGGGTGAGAAATACCTTGGATAAAGTTACCTACCTACCACATTCAATCTGCCTAGGTAGTTCCTCGTAATTGATCAATACAGAAAACCACGTTATCACGAATATCCATAGTCTGAACTCTGGTACAAGTCCATTACGAGCACCTTCGAATCAAATGACCACTTCATTTTTAAATCCAAGCTTCTGGGGCGAGGTACCGGTAGACCTTTACGACTTCATGGGATTTGATATTTTTCGATGGAGTGTGGGAGACTGAAAAGTGTCAAACGTGTAGCGGCGTCGGCTATTAGTCTCATTTTGAGTGCATTAGTATTAACTTTGTAGGAACTGAGCCACATTGCTCCAGCTTTTAGTGTTCAAACTAGAATAACAAACTTATTTGATGGAGAACCAATTTTTTTCTGGGATTTGTAAAGCATTTTAGTGTCTGATGTGTAGTCTACAGTCTGGATTTTACGGGCAAATCCGTTGACTTGTTCTGGAATCTTTCCATGCCCCAACACTCGACTATTAGTAGATAGTCTCGAGGCTTCAAGTTTAGATCTAGTATCATGTGAATGCAAAACAGGCTGGTATGTCTGGACTCCAGACTCTGGACTCTGAGCGGTGGACGGTAGATTCGGGGGGGTTATTGCAAGTACACACTCTCGTGGTTGAGTTATACTATCCATACCTATTACCTATGTATGAAATCTCTTCTCACATTTCACCCGTAGATAAGATAACGCTGTCAAGGAACCCCGAATATGAGCTGTCACGAAATAAGAATAAGAAATGAAATCGCCCGAAGAATATCCCAATTCCGGCACAGTATAACCGTAATTCTACCAAATGCCCTGGTGACCAGTGACTGATCACTAGTGACCACGTCCACGTCCACGTCCACGTCCACGTCCAACTTTGAATGGAGCCATTGATGATTGGGCCCCCTCACCCATTGTTTACTTGTGGGCTCGGGTGTACCCAGCTTAAAAAAACGTGTTGTGGGTCTTGGCATGGTTGACCCCCGGGCTTGTAAAACTGCTTGGCTGCAATGTTAAACGCCGAGGGAGGACGTGTTCCTGGATATGGGCGCTGGGATAGTGTCAGATATTGATATTACGATGGATTCCGTTTGTGATGGCGTCTATTGACTTTGGGTTATTCACACGTTTGAAGTCATATGATTTGAGATTTGAGATTTGAGATCTTGGTATGTTGTCGCTGGAGGGTAAAGAGTAGATGAATTAGAGTTCATATAACGTTATCCATCCTTCCATATATTATATTATTCATCACTACCGATCAACGGTACTTTGTTTCAGAGGAGCGAGAATCATGGTGTGAAGTATCTTCCTATCTGTTTGTTTCCACCTTATCCCTTTTTCCCTTTTCCCACCTATTCCATCCAATTTTCCCCTTCGCCTTTCCTTCCCTATTTTCTTTCGTTCTCCCATCAGAAACCCACTCATTCATCCCACTCATCTCCGATAAAGGCAGTAGCTACTAGGTACGTACCCTTTCTTTCCTGCTTTCCCACAATTACTCCAGAGTTCAAACACTCCAGAGCCCAGAGAGAAGAAAGGAATAAGAACCCCCAGGTTCCCCACTCCCCGCTTTCCTCACAAATACGACACGACCCAAACTCCGTCGACAACATTCCTACTTTAAAGCAAAGGAGATATCCGCATTTACGCATAAGCATATGGAGGTAATCGGCCCTTTAACATACTTGCTTCAAATTTTCAATAACCCCAGGGCCCCGTATGAATCTGTCGTATCCACTTCGACATCTCCAGACCGTATTATTAGTTTCTCCACTATTCATTCCCCTGTCAGGCGTCCCACAACTTTCCACTTTTGCTACACCACGACTCACGAGCACCTCAAAACATTCGTTTTTTTCTAATGTCGTCGGCCGAGATCCCCGCCCTACCTCTCACTCAGAATTGAGAACATATCACGAGACAAAGGCTGATTATATTTGTACTCGAACGAGAATCAGCTTTCACGAGTGTATTACAAGCCTGACGAGCTGAATGAATGGACTGATGATTGATGATCGATGACATGAGGCTGGATGACTGTATCACTCATTCATAGGCGCCTCCAAGCTGAAGCCTAGAGACATTCTGATCTGAACCGATATAAAATCATGCCATCTCACTCTGTACTTTTCGGGCAGTTTGCAAAGCCACTGTCTGTGCTGACGATACCTTGGATTTGGTTCAACTTACCGCCATACATCCTCCTCCTTTGCAGCCAGCGGCACATATGTTCCAGTTTCCCGTTCACCCATCAACGCCCGATTGGGACGGCTAGGTTTTCTCCTTTTACAAAATGTAAGTGGTTTTCCGGATATATAATCTTGCCTTTCTCCTTACCAAGCCACAAATCTGTCTTCGCTTTGAAATATCGCGAGTTCTAGAGTTGGAGCTTTGAAATCAATAAATCATGTTGATCCACAACAGAGGTCGGCACACGACAATGGAAGGGGAGAAAGTTCAAACGTGGGACCAGGGGATACAAAAGAAGCTTCAAGCTTCGACCCAAAATATGCCCCTTCATCTGGTGGCGTGGCGCCTCCGGCTATCACTTACGGATATTGGTTTACGTATTCTACCGATTATTTTCCTTGGTAAAGGTGGACGTCGGGACTCGGAAGAATGGTTGCGATATCTTTTAGTCACGGGAAAAGCTAGAAGTAGAAGGGGCTTGAGACTCAAATATGATCTAGAATATCTCAATGGCTTCTCGATTTTCTTTCTCCTATTCCAAGAAATTCCGAGGAAGTACGCAACGTCGCGATTGTTCGCCAGTGCGATGCCAGGTAAGTAATGTAGGCAAGTTACCATTCAATTTACCGATCGTCCAACTGATCTTCATCAAATTGAACTCTTCACATGTGAAGTATGCATTGCTTGCTAACTCACTTCTTTGTTTTGACCAATTATTGCATTATCGCAATCGAAGCATCGCAGCATCAATGACACGACCTTGAATATTTTCCTATCTATCTTCCGATTTCAGCCGTATCTTATTCGGGTAGAGGACAGTAACGTTGCGAAAGGTCCGGACGTACAAGAATCATGGTGCGGTGCACCAAGTTGTTCTGGAAGATGCGAAGAAGAATAGGAAACAAGATAACGACCAATAGACAAGTACAAGTACGACGGATCTACGGCATGATATGATATCAACTGTTCGATTTATCGATGTTATCTTATGGTCGCAGTACAAAGTCAACACTGCATTCTACTGTGAATGACCGGGAAGACTCGGGCAGTATTGTACTGCGCTTCGATCAACTGGTCATGGAGACCGTAGTGCTTTCTGTGCACTTGGTGTAATATATTCGCAGTTCAGAGTGGATGACGCAAGGTGGGTTTATATGAGGAAAATCAAGTGCTCTGGTTATCATATACCCAATGGCCACCTTCCACATGCTATATGAACGCAGAGAATTAGTGTTCGAGTTGCATTGTGTTGATTGCGATCAGCCTATACTTGGCAGACAAATGGTTTCTTGCAGTGTGATGCGTGGGAACTCTATGTTACGAGCGGAGATTGCCGAGTTTCTTGTTTCTTCTTTGCACGTTGAGACGTGGGGGAACTATGATGTTGTCATATAATACTCTTTCGACGTCCCTCGAAACTCTCTGTCGGGTTTCGAAAGATGAATTATGGATTTGTTGTTCGGGTACCCTCAAGCAATAAATGTACTATCCAAGGATAAGCAGCACTCTTTCTCAAACATACTCAAATCTCGATGCTTGTGCGCACAAGGTATTGAGCGAGCCACAAGTCCCAGCTTAGTAGGTGTAACTATTCAATTTCTTGTTCTTCACTTTGGTAGATCTTAGTTCAAATTGAGATCTTTCTTTTCTACTGTTCTGCGGTCTTGGGTATCACTGTCATTATTAGTCCTTCTCATCGTCATCTTTGTTTGTTCTTTTGATCATGATAAAAATCTGCTACCGGTGCCATACGTGTATATCCGGCATTCATTTTGGACTGTTCTATCTTGCAGGGCAATATATCTATGACTGATATGTTCATTGGATCTGGACTTCCGATGTCTGTTACTGTTACATCTTAATAGATTTATCCTTTCACGTAGCCCTGCTGCGTCATGACTTCCTCATCGTCAGCAATCCTACTATCACCCCCTTTCTCAAGCTATCAAGATTTTACATAAACACTACGCAAGGATTTCATGGAATGTGGATTGGTTGGTTTACTAACTCTCTCTAGAAGGATCTATTTTACTATTGGTTGGAACTCACCTTCATCTGCTCATATCGTCTCATGCCTGTTTGCTTTGCGGATAAATTCATTGGCTTGTTAGAGTAGGCAGGAGAATTTTCATTCGCATTGCCATTTTGATAATCAGTATATCGAACTACACAATGTTTCTTTCCGTTGAAAGCATATTGATACATGTGTGCGACTTTCCGTATCATTTCATCATTTTCCCTGCTCCGTTGTTCCTCTGAACTCAAATTCTTGGTATGATGGGGTGAAAATCAATGATTCTCTGAACATTACCTACTTCTATGTAAGAAAGAAAAACAAAAAAGCTGACTCAACCTCTATCCTTTATTTCGGGTTTGGGATTTGAATCTTCATGAGAATGAGATGAAGAAAGTCCATTTAAACTTTGCAGATAGATGTGGGCGCGTTGATTATGGGATTGTGGAGTGGGGATGGGATGGGTATATATATCTCTGCTCTCCGATACCTAAATGTTTCAAGAGAGTTGGATACAACAATTTTTAGAGAGCCAAGGATGGAGGGAGGATCTGTTGTTTATGGGGATTGGAAGGTTGAGGGTTTGATGATTTTTTGAGCTAGAGCTTGCTTGAGTGGTTCGGTAGGTAGGAGGAGAAGATGGGTATTTTTGGTGCGAGTAATTATTGCTTGTTACTTGTTACTTGTCATTTGTTGCTGGTTGTTTTGTTGTTAGTGTAAAAGTATCATTATTGATTTCTAGATTGATTGTTGTATTTTGTTTTTTCTTCAACTCATCTGTTCTAGTTTAGTATCTCCTCTCGTAACAGATTGGAGGAGATTATTGATTTTCTAAATTGCAATTCATATGTACATGTCCCGATATACAGTCATGCTTACTTTTTCTGTTATCCCGCATGAAATTGATTTCATCAGGAAATATAATGGGTTAGATCGATGGTGCTGATACTTGCTTTAGTTGAAACCTTTGTTCAGATATTCTGTGTTTAAGTTCTTATGGAGTGAAGAGATAATCTTGAGTTCTATTCACCTTACCTATAGCTTCGGGCTATGAGAGCTTTGGTAGAAAAATGCACCTCTTTCTATAAAATTACCATGGTTTCTTCTCCTGTTCCCCATGCAAACCTTGACAAATGACCTTGACAAACTGTTTAAGGCTATCTCCAGCAAGGGAGGACGGTGATTTGTCGAATCGTCGGACACTTTAAAAAATTGTCATGGAGATCTGGACAGAGGAGTTCATTTTACGATATACGGTCGCAGGTAAGTGGAACTTCACTCCCATCTCATCGAATTTTCAATAGATCATTGTTGTTGTCAATACTTATGTTCATCAATCAGAATCCAGATGTTTATGCTGTCATCTCTCATGAAGTTGCGACATCGAAGTTTAATAGAGGCTACTTCTAGACGAAATGAAATCTGTATTTTTCATCAGATGAAATATCATGTACCTAACTAACTCTGTCAAAATTTCTGATCTCCCACACCTGTCTCTCCATATGCCATTCTTTTCAAGTATTGGTTAGTTTTCTTTCGAATGAGAGAATCGTCGATATATATACCTCGATATCCCTAATTCTATCTCGAATCTTCATATGTATTTACTTTTCTCATCGGTGAATATTGGGATTTAGAATATAAAAGAACACATCTCATTGGTTTGCTTCAATATCACACCTTTTGATCCGAAGAAAGTGCTGATAACGTGGAAGATATCTGTGTGCTTACCTACCCAAACACACGAAAATAGAGAGAATGAGTCGAGAATTTTGAGCTTGGGAGAGAGCTGAGTAGTGGCAGTTGAACGTGATAGGAGTTTAGGGTTAGTTCACTCACCGATAGTCTACCTTACTGACTGTCGCTGTCTCTTCCCTTCCCATAATTGTAAAGTTTGAAGTTCTTTCATTGTTGATGCAAAATTTCATCACCTGGAATGGGTTGATTGATAGCATCACTCGCCATGCGTGAATTTGATTTGACCTGAGCTTAATACCTATATTTTGAGATAACTGACATCTATCACCCATTCATTCACATGGATGGATGATCAACCATTAGCGGGTATGCGACAAGTTCGGATCATTCTTACAAAGAAATTTTCCCAGTATGACATGTGTGTACTTATACTACACGAGTCACAAAATAATGAGATTCAAGACCGAACACCCCCTCTCGTTTACTCCAGATATCTCTATTAAAGTATCACAATACTCTACTCACATGAGTCGCATCCCTATCAAGCTCCCAAGTGTCGAATCCCAAAGTCATGCACGAGTACGATACCTCTTGAATCTATTCTTCGATACCAGTTACTCTCCTTTTAGACAGAAACTTCATTCCCCTGAAGCCTAGGATCTGAGGGGACAATCACTATGTCACTTGAAGTCCAAAAACTAAACCACTGGTTTATAGGATCTTAGCGACAGTAAGATGGACGAGTTTCTTTACTAATCTCTTTGTTGTCGAGTCAAAGCCAGCGTTGTCATTCCGGAGCGATTTTATCATCACTTGCTTTGAAATGATTCTCAAAGTTTCAACCTACACACCACTGTTGACCTCGTACCTGGTCAGATTTATCGAGTAAAATATCTTGACATTTGATATTCTCCTACAGATTCTCTCTCTGACTTAGCTCTATCTGTTCGCACTTCATGATCTTATAATGTGAAAGATAGCTTGGACTTTCGGATGCGGTATTTTATACTCACAGAGTACAAGTTAGTCGCATGTTTTACATTCTTTCTCTCCCACATCTCACATAGTCCGCAGCTTACATTGAAGATTTTACTTTCCTATCAAGTTTCCTGTTTGAGTCTGCATGCATGGTTTTTAACTTAGTAAGGTATATAAACAGTGTCTTTTACTTTATGTACTGACTGTACTCTTACCATCATAAATAACAAGTCGAATGGAAAGGCCAAAGATTTTGTCTGACTTCCAGTACTCCGCGTTCGTTTCTCCATACTCAGGAACTTTTATCTTTGACAGATCTATAAATAGCTGCTTTCTTCCTTCGAGTTGCACGTCAAAGGTCATTAGAAACGACAGTGTTTTGAAATCTCCATCGTTGCCATTCCCTCAATACTTGTCAAAATAAGACGAAAAAAAACAAACGTTCAATTCCAAATCAACAACCAAATAATCCCAGCTCACATCTAACCTCCAAACATTTCCAAGAAATCTCCTGCGCCTAGTAAAACTATAATAAGTCAGGATATCACCATCAGGACCAGAAACTACAAAGGGACCATTTACTTGTGCAAATTCTGGGGTCTGCTGTTTTTGAGGTTTTGAGCGTTGAATGAGTTTATTAATTTATAACAGAGTATTGAATTTCGACTAACCTTAGAAGCTAGGAAACTAGATTGTGGTCTCAAGGCTATCTGAGGCGTACGAATGCGAGTAAATGCATAGTGAATATGGTACTTACCCATATCCTCCCTACTACCTACCAAATTTGATAGGTAGAGATATTCGCAGATCTCCAATGGAGTCTTGTACTAAGTAAGTGTATAAGCTACATACCATTCAATTCTAATAGTGGTGATAGTATGGGTCTAACCAGACGCGCAGAATGCAAGCAGGTGTATAATGTACAGAGCAGGGTACGAGTTTTGTTTGTATGCAAATCACAAGCTAATCCTGTCTCTTCCTTCTTCAAAACATGTGAAGAACAAGAGAGTTCGAAGGAGTTGAACACATACGAACGGTGATGAAGGAGATGTTTGGGCCACTATTGATAGTGAGTGTTTTGATGGTCGAAAACACAAGTGAAGTCGGCAGTCTTAGCGATGATAATAATAAATGACAATTAAAGGTGATGGGTGATAATTGAAAAGTACTCGCGCAAATTCAACTGGACGAGATTGATACCCTTCGAGCTTAGTTGGTATCTAGAGCTGGTTCGATCGGAAAATGAAGTTGAGGTCATTCAGCTGCTTCTATAGAGGTCAGCGAAACTATTTGATGGAAGGAATGACATGTTGCAAGCTTGACTTTAATAGAAAGCGGATGAAGTGCAATCAGTAAAAGCTGGTGAATTATAATATCAAAGAAGATCCACAATTTATATTCCCTACATTTTCAATTGCCCAAATATATATCCTGCTCCCTTCATTCTCCCCTTTTCCCCACCATGATTACCAAAATCAAGCAACAGTGACGAAGAAGTTACTCTGCCCCTCCATTCTCTCCACCTTCCCCATCTTACTAATCTCATCACCAACCGCCATTCTCAATTTTTCTACTGTAGCCGGACTATCCAAATTCCATCCTCGTTTTCCCTCTTCAGAACTCATTCCCAATCCATTATCTTCTCTCGCACTCCCCACAGCCATTCTCAAGGCAAAGAATACCCCTGCCCCCAAAAACAAGGGTGGTTCACCCACCCCTTTACTACTCTGTACACTTTTCAACCCCTGCCACATTTTTTTTTTTCCTTCCTCATCTTTAAGGAAGGAAACATTGAAAATCTGTGGAATATCCGCAAACCCAGGTATCTTGTAAGTACCCGGACCTTTCGTAAACAACTGTCCCTCCTTTGTCCACAGACTTTCTTCCATGGTAAACAAACCCAATCCCTGTACATAAGCCCCCTCAATCTGACCATAGTCAATTGCTGGGTTAATGGATCTCCCGATATCCATTAAGATATCTGTCCTCAAAATCGTATGATGACCCGTGAGTACATCGAATTCAACCTCAGTAGCAGCAACTCCTTGAGTAAAGTAATAGTACATATCCTTGACCTTTTCTTTATCATAGACTCCCCATTCGTATCCAATCCTTGGCATCTTCCAAAATCCGCTCGCACTTAGATGAACTCGGTCTCTGTATGCCGCGTGTGCCAAGTCTTTCATACTCGTGTCCTTTCCCAACCTCTCTCGATACGGCGCTAAGCGTTCATTTAACTGTTTGCAAGCATCCATAATTGCCATTCCATTCAAATCACTCCCAGAGCTCGCAGCAGTAGGACTTGCATTTGCGGTCTGGTAACTTGACGTATCTTGAGTGAAGACTGATGATACTGGAACACCCAGTTCTTGCGCACAAATTTGAGTCATTTTAGTGTATAAACCTTGACCCATTTCTGTGCCTCCGTGGTTAAGAAGAACAGAACCATCGGCGTATATTTTCAGGGACGCGGACGCTTGATTCAGATGAAGGGCTGTGGCAAAAGAAAGACCGAATTTGGTTGGAAGAAGTGATATACCTCGCTTGCGATACTTATGTTCTTTGTTGTATTTCTCAATCTCAAGAAGACGTTGGGAGTACTGTGTTTCGTGCTTGATTTTTTCTAAGAGGAGCGGGACATTCCAGTCTTGATTAATAGTTTGGAGGAAGGGTGTATGATCTCCTTGTTTATAGAGATTCATAAGTCGGAGTTCATCGATGGGTATGTTTAGTCCTTCGGAAATGGCAGTCATGTATGTTTCAGCAAAAAACATAGCTTGCGGCCCCCCAAACCCACGAAATGCTGTGTTACTATGGGTATTCGTTTTGCACACATAACCCCGTAACAAGACGTTAGGAATTTCGTAACAATTTTCAAAGTGCGTCAAACATCGTCCCATCACTGCAGCCGACATATCTTGTGAAAATCCAGCATTGTTATATATATCCGCTTCAAGTGCAATCAGCTTCCCATTGGATTGGACGCCAACCTTCCAACGAGCTTGTATAGGATGACGTTGTCCACTTGTCATCATATCTTCGTCTCGATTTAACATGCATCGAATTGGACGTTTGGTTTTCTTAGCTGCGACAGCAAGGAGACATGCAAGTTGAACGCTGCGGGATTCTTTACCACCAAAAGCTCCTCCCATGCGTTTCACTCGAGCATTGACACGAGAGCTGGGTACGCCGGTTACTTGAGCTACGAATTCTTGGGTTTCCATGCTATGAGAATTCTTAGATATTGTTTGAGCTGATGAACACTTGACTTGGCTTACCTATTCTGCGTTGAAGACCACACTTCATATGTTCCATCTTCCTTATTCGGAATCACCATTGCGGCGTTGGTTTCAAGGTAGAAGTGTTCCTGGCCGCCTATCCTAGTAGTGCCTTTGAATATCTTGTCGCAAGATGCCCAAATGTCGTTCATTTTGTCTTCGATCGCAGCTCCTTTCTTTAACATCTTTCCATAAGGAAAATAGCTATCTGCCTTGATTGCTTCATCAATAGTCAATATGACGGGAAGATCTTCGTACTCAATTCGAACGGCTCTAGCAGCGGCTTGTGCTTGTAGAGCGGTTTCTGCAAAAACTAAACCTATAGGCTGACCATGAGAAAACACTTTCCCGTCCGCAAATAATGGTTCATCTTTTACAATTGATCCCCATAGATTCACATCTATTGGAATATCATTAATATCGACGTAGCCTAGAGCAAGTCCTGATTCAATCGCAGGCGCCCAATCTACCTTCAATAATTTTGCATGCGCACGACTAGATAAAACCATAGCACCGAATAATTCTCGATGCTGTCTAGGCATATCGTCTATGTATTCTGCTTCTCCTGTTGTCTGTTTGAGGGCCGATAGATGTGGTATTTGTTTTCCTACAACACGTTGCTCATACGGGTTATGGTTATCTCTAGTACCCGAGGAAATCTCTCGATGTATTTCATTGATGAGATCAGGATCCACCTTTCCCAATCCAAAGTCCGAAACGACTTCATGCCAGAATCTGAAGAATAAAGATATAGCCAGTGTTCGACGGTATGATGCCATTCCACCAGGAACGTCGTATTTCAAATCGAATTCTTCGGCTAAGCTCTTCATAGATTCATTAAGAGTGGTGGAACTGTACCATTTATTGCCAAGCAAGCACTTCATAGTTTGGGGGGCCATGATGGTTGTTGGTGCCATTCCACCATAGACTAATGATACTTCTGAGACGATACCATCCTTGTCAAGTCGCACACGAAAGGCGGCCGTAACAATTGCAATATCATCATCTTTCCTCTTGGCTTGCTTATATGCTTTGGTGATTTCTTTCTCATTCGGTGGTGGCAAGGAAACTCGAACATCAACTATCACCGCATCGATTGGAAGCTTCGTCGTACGATATGATACGAAGAAGTCGGACATGGGTAAATCTTTAATTCCCTGAGATTTGCTTCGAATTGTCAAGATAGCACCCGCTGCCATGAGCACAGGATTGATGTCAGAAATAGGAGAAGCAGTAACAATATTTCCTGCAAAAGAAGCAACATTGCGAATTTGTCTTCCGGCGAAGTAACGGAGTTGCTTTCTTACTGCCTCGAAAACCGAACCTCTCTCACCAAGTCTTCGAGAGAGCTTTCGGCAAGTATCCTCTACATCAGTCAGGGAAGCATTTGCGCCAAAGACAATTTCTGAACACGATTGAAGATGCTCATCATCATCTGGAATATTGATATCTCGAAGCTCCTCAATATCCGAAACATAAACTGAGACTGGGAACGAAGAGTATTTGAATCGGACTTCAACCTGAGTTTCGCTAGCTCCGCATACAAGCTTAGCTGTGGGATATGATTCTTTTATTAGAAGAAGTTGTTGAAGAGTTGTTGGTAAGAGCCAGGCATTTGTGTCATTTCCATAATACAACGGCTTTTTGGTAAAGTTATGGAGAGCTGGTGGAAATATGAGTTCGGTCTGAGCTTGGTAAGGAATAAAGGAATGTTGAATATCTTTCGGATTAGAAAGGCTCGAGCTATCATGAGTAATAGTTTTATCATTGTTCGAGCTCGCGGAGCTTTGAGAAGAACGGGTGGGGCTCTCCTCTGAAGAGTCTCCTGGAGAACTGGTTCGAGATCCGCATGAACCACTGTTTGGTGAATCTTTACAACAGCCACCAATTCTCCCACAAGAAGCACCATTCCCTGCATCGACGGGATCAAGGTACGAATGTAATGGAATATTAGGAAGATCTGCCTCAGAAGTACCTTCATCGACATTATCTGACTTGGGAATGGTCAGCTTTCCTTTGAGGTCATCAGTGATGAAAGTTCTCGCAGCCTGTAAAATAGGTTTATATCCGGTACATCTACAAAGGTTACCATCCAGATGACCTTCCAACTCTACATCATTAGCAGATAGTTGAAATGACTTTGACAGAGGATCGTAGGAGTTTCTGATCAAGGCATACAATGACATGACAATACCAGGAGTACAAAAGCCACATCTAGAGGATTTCGATTAGTTTGGTTCACAGATTATACTGTGATAGTAAAGTGTCTTACTGCGACCCGTGTAGTTTTGCTATACGTTCTTGCAAGGGGTGAGGATTTTCTGTATTTCCGATGCCTTCGATAGTGATGACATGCTTCCCAACGACTTTAATTCATTAACTTTGGAAGATCGATGCGTGATCATGAATAATTACCTCCTATTAAAGGGAACAGACAAGCGTTCACGGCAACGTGCTTTATCTTTTGGCCTTCGGAAGACTTATTAAAAGTTTGAAGCACAACAGTACACGCTCCGCATCCTCCTTCACCACATCCAAGCTTTGTACCCTTGAGATCATCCTGGGACCTGATAAAATCTAAAAGTGTCCATTGAGGATTTGGGTTATGGAGGTTTATCCTTGTTCCATTTAGATAGAATTCCAATGTAGAATCTTGGAAAATTGACTGAATTTCCGATTTTAATGGTAGAATTCCCATAGTTGATGAATGTGCAAAGTCGAGTGCAACGATGAGCCAGAAGACTGGGGGAATTTTGTTTGGAAAGCCATTTTGCTCGAGTGGCTTGATACAAAATCAAGCACTGCACAGCTGATAAATTCGGATTGGCTACTCAAGTTGTTGAGCAATGAGGATGGATGATCATGTCTTCAAAATGGATGGTGTTGTATATGCAGGGCGACGTATTGGTGGTAGTAAGATTGTGGGCATGAACGATAAGCTTAGTGCCAATCCGATAGGCTATCACGTAAGCTACTAGCCCCCTGTCATAAGAAGGAAACCCATCAGCACGACAAACCACTCCACAGTCCACTCCATCTCGTATCCAACCACAAACGATCATTTTATCATCAACTCGCATTCGTGCATGCAGGACCACGATAGCTTGATTATATACTGACTTGAATGTCGAATAATTCCTTTGGAGATGATGTATCCCACATGGAAAAGAGTCTGGAATCTGGATGTCCTTGGAAAGCTATGAGGACCAAGTCAACACTCATCATGTCGTGTGCGACGCATATTGGAGGTGTTGCTCTCTCACCTGAAAGCTGCCGGAAGATACTAGTGCACCATCCAGAAAGTATATAACTCCGAAGCTAGATGCACATACCACAAGATGGCAAACTACGAGAAGAGTAACCTTTATATCTTAGCGGCGGAGTTGCATGATTTCTCGCAGCACGGGTGTTAGTTGTAAGTTCCATAATAATGGTCATTCTCAAGCCCAATGATATGGATTGCTATATCGTAGTCCGATGTCATTGTTCAAGGAGGGGTCGAGTGCCCACAATTTGGATGAAAAGGGAAGGAACATGTGTGGTGCTTGCTTTTTAGATGCCTTATCAATCTCAAAGTTCTCCACAGCCTGCCATAGTCCTTGTACTGCACTATCTTTCATTTGTCTTTGATGCTTTCCTTTTCCTTTTGAGTGCAACTCATATCGCAAGTCGTTTGGCAGACTCCATGAGGTCTACGTGTTTCAAGACTTATCGCATGTAGTCTCCACATTTTCTTGACCAAGCATGGGCTCAGGTGCAAGTGAACTTTGATGTATTGAATATTGCAAGAAAATTTAACACAAGGTACAATGCAATTGTAGTGCATTTGGCAACGACCGTCGATAAAGTGCCACGATTGCGCTGTTTCGACACCCTAACGGAGCTGATTCCGTCAACCCGAAGAATTTTGTTTGGTCGGCTTTTCTTTCTCAGTCGAGGAATGCCACTGGGGTCGGGTAGGGCATAATTTTGTTCTGTACATAAAGAGTGGTCAACTTTGATACCGGAGGATCTGTCCGCGGTATCCTCCTCCCATTTTCTTTTCATGAAGGAGTGAGCCATTCACTCAGCCAATAGTCATCCATCTTTATTCGCTGTATAGAAAAGGATAAACATAGAACATGTATAATATTGAGACGTCTCTGGTGTTCATGAGAGCGTGATAAATCATTATTCTGCGATCTCATACTACACATAGGCCCAGAAACGTAGTCCTGCAGGGTTAGTTACTTGTGCCGCAAAAAATTATGGTATAAGGGACATCTTCACGGTCCAATCACGTACCTAGAGATACACACTGGGTAGGTGTTCTCTTACTCAGGGTGTATCCGACTCTATTCATCCTTCGGGTAGCAGCTTTGTTTGTTGTTTAGGCTTTTGGCTGATTTTAGATCGCTTATATTTGATTTCTATTTAAGATATTCTGCTGCTTCATTCCCGTATGGGAGTGTTTTTATTTACTTAAATAATTAACTTCACAATCAACTTTTCAGAAATTCACTATAATAGTCCTCCAGCCACTCTGCGACCTCGGATCCAACATCTTCATTTCCGTCACCAGACATACAAAACCTTTTGAGGGAACCAACATATCCATCAGGTCTAACATTCAAAACAACGATCTCATCATCTCTGACGTCGCCTACCCACTTATGCGTATAGCTTCCTTTATAAGAGTGAGAATCTCCAGCATCTTGAGGAATATCATCCACATAGATTGTCCAGCTGCTTTCTTGCAAGCTTATTGGTAAATCTGCAATCTCGAACCTTTCTTTGTTCATCTCCGTCACCAATGCGTATGTAAAAAACTTACTTACACCTATGTATCTATTTGGTTGAATATATTCATCCAATTCTGTCTCTTCTGGTGTATAAGAATTTGCGGCTGCAGAAGTGCGATCGAGAGTTCGTGTAAGATTGGAAAATCTTTGGAAAATATGCCCCAGACAATCAGACCACCTATGAACGTCTGATAGGAAGAAGAATATGCGGAATTGCCCAAACAGAGGAATTTCAAGCTGTAAATCGACAGGATTTGCATCAATATACCTAGTCACCCTAGCGGGTGGTAGCAGCGCACCAGGTCGCAATACACCACTACTTCTCTCGCCGCTTAATCTTAGTTTAGATTCTTTGGGTTGTGTTATTTCATTGGCAGCTTCTGCGTTCAGAACATTCTTGCCATATTCCGCCAGTCCAGAATAAACCTGATGTTTTGCGCAAAGTTCTCGGCAAGCGCTACGGGATCTCCGGCAGAGTAAGCATTGGCATGTTCGAAATCAAACGCGAGGAGATCTCGAGCAACAGCCTGTCGCTCTTGCGTATATGTTTCCAAAAGAGAGGGGAGCGCGATATTTTTAATGGCAAGGGCCAATTTCCATGAAAGATTGAAGGAGTCATGCATTGATACATTCATGCCCTGCGCGGCTTTTGGGGAGTGATTGTGTGCAGCCTGTTCTGCTATTAGACCCAGATGAACAATTAAGATAGTGCATGGCCACTTACATCCCCAACAATAAAAACCCGCTGTGTATCATCTGAGAAGCGTTTGGCCGCTCGCTGTCCAAATTTATATACAGCAAACCATTCTATAAGGTCAGTAGTCTTTACAATCGCTAGGGGAAGAAAGCTCTCTTACCAATACGCTTCCACGTCAATTTATATGGACTGAAAATCTCCTCGGCTCTCTTCATCACAAAATCTTGAACAACTTCTTTGGAGTCCCCCTCTGCTGTGTCCTGCAACTCAATATAGAGTCTCGTCATATTTCGCTCCCTTGGAATGGAAAGAATCGCTCCTTTCTCCGATTGAACTATAGTTTTACTCCATAAATCCGGAAATTTCGTTTCAATTACTGCATCCAAGATGCCCCACACACTCCCACTCTGATCTCCTTCCATATCTGCACCATCAATGCATTTTCTTACATTCGAATGCGCTCCATCGCATCCTACAAGATATTTTGATTTCAAAAGCTTATCCTCACCTGTTTGGATATCTTTGTACTTTACGACTATATCCTCATTTTCTGAAGTCGGCTGTACGATTCCAACGAAAGAAGAATTTCTTTGTACCTCAACTCCTCGGGCTCTCAGATCCTGGATAAATACATCTTCAATCATTCCTTGATGAATGAGTAGAAGGTTCGGATCCAACAAATCGACTATATCTTTTGGGTAATGAATTTCTCTAGCCGTACGATGAAGCTTTTCCTCCACTGTGGATTTCTATTCATTGTTAATTTTTCTTTGCGCAATTAGAGACTTAACCGTGAATTACTTGCCCAGTAACAGATATCATACACCTTGACCCCTCTCTCAAGTAAAGAATCCGCAAGACCGAGCTGTTTGAGCGTCTCAATGGTTTTAGGTTGCAGGCCATCGGCTCGGCCGGTTGCAGTTGAAGAAGGTCTGTCATCGAGAATAGCAACCTGGATTCCGTAGCGTGTAAGAGTACAACTTTGTTCTGTCAGTGAGGTGTACATAGGGGGAATTACCGGACTCACTCACGCTAGCATAAGACCTGCTGGGCCTGCTCCGATAACAGTCACCTGATTTACAATATCCATGGTGCTCAGCAACGTCGTATCGACCTATCTAGAAATAATTTTGACAATATTAAAATTCGATAATTCAATTTAATCGGAATACCTCCGTTAACTATAGGCTTAAAGAGATATAGCAAACGACGACCCAAATGTAACACATCAAAATCAAGTCCTTGTCAAGTTCCCCAGATAGGAAGATTGTCTAATTTAGCACCGAGTCCATCATCACCTATCAATTTTGCAAGAGTCAAGCTTCGGCATTGTGCATCATGTAATGCCAACACATGGTCTTTCCGGCGTTCTTGCCCAATCAAGAGAGGTCCTGCGCGGGTGAGGGGCAACGCCACTAATGAACTGGGCGCTGTGGCGATCAGATAGGCGGGGTACAGATGCCTTGATCATTGGTGAGCTTGTGCTACGATGTAACTTATCGGTGGATTTATCGTGCATATCTTAATGAAACTGAAGAAGTCCTTGAGACATTATCGTGAAGCTTATCTTTTTTGGAATTTCCAGCTACTTGATTATGGAATCCCGTTGAGAATCATCAAACATCAGTCCTTCGATATTAGAATATACGATATATATGATATTTCATTATTAGATACTGCTTTGGCCGTTTTATTATTGTTTTGTCACTGTACGCTACTGAATTAGATTCATATGTTTCAAGTACCATTATGTCTTCCTCAGCTCCAGTGAAAGAGAAAATCATCCGCAATGAAGAGAATAAGCTGAAGGTGACTTCCATCTTGACTCCTGTATTTCAGTATCTGTCGATAGTACTAAACATAAAGCAAGGTGATAATAGTCGGCGCTGGTCTCGGTGGTTTAGGCGCTGCAATTGCCATATCTCTCGCCGGTCATTCAGTTACCGTCCTCGAGTCTGCCCATGAGATAGGAGAAGTACATTATAATTTCCTCCGTCCCAAAAATCTCATTCCGTAGCCCAAAAAACTTATCAATTGACTAATTTCCACCTCGGGGCTCACAGGTGGGTGCTGGCATCCAAGTTCTCCCTCCCACATCTCTGATCCTCCGTGACTGGGGATTGCTCCCTTACCTCTCTGCTCACAGTACCTCTCCAACAAAAGTCAACATGATTTCGTGGAAAGGAAACTTAATCTCATCCATGGATTTTAGAGAGAGTGCGGCACAATACCCGGGCTCCGTGTATTGGGATTTTCATCGTGCGAATCTACATAGAGGACTGTATGAACGAGCGTTGGAATTAGGAGCTAAGGTGAAAGTAGGAATGAGAGTTGTAGACGTGGAGATTATAGAGAATGGGGCTAGAGTTATTGTTGAAAAACGCAGAAGTGAAGAGAGAGAGGAGGAAGAGGAGGGAAATTTAACCGCGGATCTAGTAGTTGGTGCGGATGGAATATTCAGTAAACTGCGAGAAGTGATGTTAGGACGAGAAGACGAGCCACATTTGACAGGAGACTTGGCTTACAGGTTGTTGTTATCTACTAAGGATATGTTAGCTGACGAAGAACTGGCGGATTTTGTAAAGAACCCGCAAGTGAATTATTGGATGGGTCCAAAAATGCATGCTGGTAAACATCTTCCTCTGTTCCATCTCGGATTTTGCTGGGATGTCATTGAATTGACATGTTTACTAGTGAACTATGTCCTTCGAGGCGGGGAATTGTTCAATATGGTTCTTCTCGTTCCAGATGATATGCCAGCTGGTGCCACAACCTTGGAAGGCAACGTGGAGGAGATGCGTGCACTATTCAAAGATTGGGACCCAAGGTAATTACCGGCTTCTCCCAAGATATTGCCCTTGGTAACGCTTTGTTCATTGACTTTGGCCCAGAATTCCAAAATTGCTCGGCATGTGTGAGTCTGTGTATAAATGGCGTCTTTGCACTCGCCCTGGTCTCGACAACTGGAGCCATCCCTCCGGCCATTTCACTCTTCTTGGGGATGCGGTTCATGCTACGCTTCCTTATCTTGCTTCGGGGTATTTTCAATTTTTCCTTTTCTAATTCTCAGTATTGCCATGATTCTTTGGAATCGTATTCTTGCAAATCCAGTCCATTTGCAATGATCACTTGAATCTTTGAGGGAATCATCTGATTTTCACTACCAAAATTCTTCGGTGCATGATCTGAAGTTCAAAAACTCAATCGTTGTTTCGTCATCCCATCTCATTTTCTATCGCTATCAAAGACCTAACCCCTCGACAGCGCAGGAATGTCACTCGAAGACGCCGCTGTCCTCGGCGAGCTCCTTTCCCACTATCCCAACTCCTCCTCCACCGTTCCTACTACATCGAACCTCAAGTCATCCTTCCTCCGACATACACTCCCCATCTATCAAGCCCTGCGTGCACCTCGTACTCAAACCGTCGTCGAGCGAGGAAACATCCAACAATATCTCTACCATCTTCCAGATGGTCCCGAGCAGATTGAGAGAGATCGGAAGATGCGACAGAAAGAAGAGGGAGAAGCATTGGCATGGAGAGATAAGGGGCTTGCGCCATGGTTGTTGGGATACCGGGTTTCGGATGCGGTGAGTGGTTCTGATTTGGCTTCATTTCAGTTTGAGTTACGGAATGAAAGACTGATAATCTCTTTTAGGTCAAAAAGCTGTGGGTCCCTTTCAGAGAACAAGCTGAGGATGAAATCGGGATGGATATTGAGGCTAAGAACGATCCAGAAAGTCGAGATGCTAGATTATGATATCAAAAACACGTGTATATATATATAATTGCCTTCATTATTCAATCCAAAAATATCCGAGACGGTATACGTGAAAGCTTCATCAATGGCTGAACCAGAGCTACGGTGAATATGAATGACTATAAGTATCACAATCCAGGCTAAAGTTGCTAGACTTAAGGTAATTCCCTGAAAACTCTTACCCTGTGGAAATGACAACAAAAGAAATTCTGAATGCGTTGAAATATCTCATATGGCATGCGGGCGGTTTGTTCATCGCCGCTTGACCAGGGATTTCTGGATGTAAGTCCCATGGAGCCACCTGATTCTCTATCAAGTTTCTGCACATGTGCTCATGATTCCTCAGTTGCAGCCTTGACTGTTCATTTGGAGAACTGCACTAGGACATTACCTTGGATGCGAATACACAGTCTCGAGGAGAAACTGACTTTGAAGCTCTACCTCACCAGGCAGAGTTCAGTCTGCGACCCTTCGTCGAGTTGCTGGAGGTCTTAAGGAGGCCACTTTCTATTGCGCGACTGAGTTCTAATCGTTGTTTTCTGAAATCTCCCCGCGAAACTTCTCGAGTTAACGAAATATCCAAAGTTCGTTTATGTTTCTCCCCTTCACTTGATCGGGAGTTCTTTTTAAAGGAATGATCATCACAGAATTCTACAGTATTCACATATCAGCCTTCCAGAAGTTTTGTTTAAAAAAGGTATCGTTGTCGCTAGTGAAAAATGTAGTTCAATACACTCATTCCATACATCCATCCATTCATCCATCCATCCACATAAACACTTTTATAACCAACGCTATGCCTTCGGCTTACTCTTCAATTTCAACAGATTAAATACCTTCACCATCTGATAATGACACAGGAAGAGCTAGGTCCACCATTCCTACCGAATCCCTACGACCATGAACTATCGTTCGTATACACCAAACAGAGAATCCAAAACATGGATATGTATGCACCGAAAATTAAAAGGATATTATACACGTGTAAAGGTTCTCCATGCATCTTGGTAAAACTTTGTTAAAACTCATCATTCGTAATGGAAGAAAGGAATTTCTATCGAAGGAAGTACATGATTTGTGAAGCACATTATATCTTGCTCACAACCACGTTAAGACAATCCAATACCTGTAATATGTCAGTAAGTGCAGTGTGATAAAGTTTTTATGAACTTACCCCCTCAGCAATGACTCCTTGGTTGTAAAGATGCTTGCTAATTCCTTTAACCAGCTCCATTTGTTCTTCTGGTGTCAAACCGTTAATCACTGTTTCGATGACACCCCCAAGTGAGACTTTGTAGATGGCAATGAAGCTGTGGAAATAAACGTAGGCGAAGAAACCCATGATAAATTGACAATCCATACGATCAGTAATTCCACCGTGTCCAGGAATCGAGTCGCCAAAATCCTTGATTTTGAAAGTCCGCTTGAGTCCAGAAGCAAAGAATCCGCCAAATGGTGCAATGAGTGATGCAAAGGTACCAAAGACAAGGATATGACCCTGCATGGGTGCAATGGAGAAGGATTTCCAGACTGGAAACCAGATGGGAAGTTGATAGGTATGAGGCAAGAAAACTGGGTTTGGAGTACACTCAAGACCAGTCCAGAGGTTGGCGCCAAGATCCTGTCGGGAGTTAGTGGCCGTACGAGTTTCTGAGTGAAGACTCAACTTACATTTACTGGGCAAATGAAATATTTGTATCGCATGAGGACATTAGTCATACCGACACCGAAAATGATTGTCAGAATCCAGGCACCAACAAATCCTTCCACGGTTTTCTTGGGTGAGAGTTTAATGAGCTGTGTTCGACCGAAAGTGATACCACAGATGTAAGCAAATATGTCATTGCAGATGACGAGAGATACTGGAAGGAAGAACCAAATCATTCCCTCAAAAACGTTGTTCATGATGAAATGGGCTTGGACCACAATAAGGTAAAGGGCCATGTGAGTCCAGGCAAATTGCGTAAACTGGAACTTGTAATGTCCGGCTTGGAGAGAAGCGACGAAGAACACAAACCCTTCACACTGTTAGCATTGCCCGATTTCTTTCTCCTAAGATATTCTCCCTACCAATGGTATAAAGCATAAAGCTGATGAATCTGTGATGTGTCGCAAAGGGCAGCAAGACTTTATCGACCAACACAATGTGCTTGAAATAGTAAATCACACTCTCGCCATACAAGAAGTACATCGTCGTCGCCAACCAATACCAATTCAACGCCTTGGTGAAACGCAATCGACGAGCTCGGCTGGGAACGTTTGCAATCGCAATGACTTCCTTGAACGATATTATTTGTACTGCGGTGACAATCGCAATGATGTATATGTGCCCCATGAACATAGATGCAAAGAACCCCCCGATCATCACAAATGTCCATATTGATCGTGTAATAAATGTCTGCTTCTTCTTCTCGTATTCTGACGGCACAACTACATTGCTCTGCGGTCCAAAGTCATTAGCCAGCGCCCCAAGATAATGATAGAGGCGCATATCTCACCTCCTGGTTTTTCTCATCGCTTGCACCATCTGTCTTCGAGATCTTTGGAGAGCTTGGCTCCGAGGCGGCCTCGCTGATATCTGAGAAACTGCTTCTGCGACCATCACTGCCGGCGCGACCATTTCGATGGTTGAACTTAATTCCCCTTGGTTTTGTCATTTTTGCAGAGCTCAAGAAGTACGAGTTTGCAAATTCTAAAGAGGTCTTGGCGGTGCGAATTTCCTCTTCGTCGTTTCAATTATCCGTGTCGCCAAATCCCGGATGCGTCAAGAGTGTCTTCTAGTTCCACCACTCCACATTCATAAAGATAAGTTATGCTTGAAGTAGGACTGCGCCGAAAGCAGAATCAAGTGATATGGTGAGCTTCGTGAAATTAGTTGAGAATGGGGTGGTCCTGAAGTGGGTGTACTTTTTTGGGGGAGTGATAGGAAGTTGTGGCTCCTCTTCGCTCCTACGTCAGCCAAAAAACCCTGGAAAATCAGAGTGTTTGCTTGTGATATTCGCGTTAATCGAAGCCTGATTCTAGTGAAGGAAAGCAAGAAAAAAAAATGGTCAATTTTTTTTATTTGCAATGGATTGGGAGAGAGTTCATTCTTATCATTCAAATTTTCAAAGGAGATTCACTTCATGCAAACATCAATACTACCTATCAATACTCGTGTTATTACCAGGTACTTTCTACGAGTCTGGTACGCACCAGTACTAGCAAAATAGAAAAGCAGCATTTCAAAGAAATTGCTGCTGCTCCACAATTAAGTGCGCAGATGGATAATTTAGTTCCGATTTCCGAAAGGCGGTGGCAGAAACTCGCAAGGCTGTGGCTGTATTCTAGTAATATTAATTCGAGTCGAGTTCAAGATTTGGATTGATAAATTACCTACAAATAATTGCCACATCAATGTTTTCAGATAGTTTGATAATTATAGGGATGGAATGGCTCCTCACGAAGATGGAGGGAACAACTTCTCCGATGATGATTTCCTCAATGATATACCAGCAGATGCCCTAGACGAACTCGAGAATAATGCCATAGCATTTACCCAAGCCCAGATTAAAGCCCCTCCTTCTTCTGATTATGGGGATGAGTTTGACGACGATGATTTGGATGATGCGGTCGTTATAGATGAAGCCAGAAGTGCCCCTGCGGTTGTGCCTTATATACCTCGAAACAATGTCAATCAAGCTGTTCGACAAGAACAATTTCAACAGCAACTCTATGGAGATACAGATATTTTGAATAGGCCAAGAGATTACATTGGGCCTGCTCGTCCTCGACAACCAGAACACTTACCACAGCTATTTTCAAATCCAATCTCACGAGAGAACTCTAACCTTTCTCGGCCGACGACTCAATCGGTAGCTGACGGTGACAATGAGGCACTTAGAAAACTAGTGCAGGAGGTACTTCTGGTCGCGAATTATCGTCTTGAATAAGGTCACTGACTAATTTTCAGTTACAACAAAAAAACAAAGCTCTCGAGCAAGAGACTCTATCGAAAAATGGCGAAATCTCAATTCTACGTGGTAAAATTGACAAATCAGAAAAGGAATATGAACGCACACAAGCAGCGAAAGAGAAGTTACACGCGGAACAGTTGGCAAAGCTACAAAAAGATAGAGAAGCGGCTGAAATCGCCGCGAGAAATGCTACAATCGAGCGTGATTTCACGAAGCAAGATTTATTTGAAGAGACCGAAAGAGTCAAAAGGTTAAACAAAGCAAAAAATCCTAAGGATGCACAGGTTATGACCCCGAAGAAGACAAAGTCAATGCCATTTAGGGACGGGTTTGATGATGATGAGATTGAGCTCCTTTCTCCTAGCAAGATATCCCCATCGAAATTTCAAAAACGGCAACCTGGCACGCCTTCGAGAGCAGCAAAGCGGAAACGCAAAGCTAATGACAGCCCTTCAGCTAGTGCTTTAGATATGCTACCTGTTCCAGATCTACTTTCAGAACCACAGAAGGCTCCATTGTTGGATGAATCGATATTAGAGAGACTTGTTCTACAGGATGACCGATCGGATTTTCTTGCGGCCATGCTAGATCATCGACCGAACCGTGATCACTTGAGGACTCTAGAAGCATTTGGCAAGCATTCTCTACCATCATCCCCAGATGAATCTTTTTCATCCCTGATTCTTGGAGAAATGCCCAGGATCGGTATGAAAAAGCCTATTTCCGAAGTACCGGCTGAGTTTTGCTTGTTCCTAATACAATTATGGTCTAAGTGCATGGATGAAAAATGTTACACTCCAATTTATTTATTTGTTGACATTCTCACCTTTGCACTTGAGTTAAAAACGCTCTCGATTGTACCGCATATCATTGATCAACTCATTCCCCTGGTGCAGAAAACAGCTGATCTTGTCGCAATTCCTCGTTTCAATGGCGACCCTTGCGATCCTTATGATAAAGACATTAATGTATCCGCTTGCTTGGCTCTCACTCACCTCGCTGCTCTAGGCTGCGTTCCTGAACAAGACCATATAACCAGATTTTGGAAATTGATGAGATGGGACTTTGTTCTTCTTATGCTTAGTCAAAATCAACCACCAGCAGATTTCGAGTGGATGCTGCGAATTTTGTCTACTGGTGTTCTGAAAGATACTTTTGGTAGCAATCCAGTCGATAACCCAAGGTTTAGACCATCCACAAACGCTGGTCACATTATAGAACGTCTAACATACCCACTATTCGAGGTACCTTGCCAACCTAACAGTGCGGCTAAAGCTGATCCTGATGTTGTCCTTAAATTACGCCTTCAGATCATATCCTTAATGACTGGTATGACTCGATCGCCCTATGCTGGAAATGCACTTGCTTCCCATCCAACTGCGATCGGTAGACTCATCAGTTTAATCAGCGATGAATTAGATGGCTTATATGACCATAAATCAGGTCGTGAGGATAGGTACGCGATTCTTCAAATTTTTGCTACTACATCACTAACACCCCCAGTGCCCGTCTCATTAGTCTTGCAACTCGTCTTTTATTCCACTTGGTCACTCGATATGAATTCGATATGCAAAAGAAGTTATCAGTCATTCGCGGCGGGTCACAAAAGTATCTTCTTTGTCTGGCTAGATTAAATTTTTCAGAGGATGATTTAGTTTTCGAGTCAGGCATTGATCCAGATATCCCTGGGTGCGCATTAGAAATGTTAGAGATGATGGTTACGCCCGAAGAAGGAGAAGCGATACAAGAAGCCCTGTCGAATGTATAAATGTTAGTCTGGTGTATTTTTATGGTATGCATGATGGTATTCATGTTGGAGTTGGCTTCTGGTTATAATAGATTTGGGTTTAGCGAGGCGCTGTGGACTTCTTTTTCCTTGATCTGACACCCGTTATTGGTGATTTGATTGAGAATATATCATTGTTGACTAATGCAAATATAAAACAAACAAACTCTCGTATGGAAGAATTCAAGAGTAGGAGTATATACAAAGTGTGATTTCGATCAAGGTCTAGAATCTCTTGCTCTTTACAGTTGGGTATGTGTTACTTGGAGAATTCGGTAAAGTGACCCAGGAGAGAATTGCAGTTAGATTCGAGAACGGGAATCACCGCTCAGAATTTTTAATGTCATTGTTGAAAACACGTGTTGTATTCTACGCTAGTGCTAGTTTACACGCTGATTGTGATTGATTCCATCTTGAGTGCGAAAATGTCATTCGCTTTGGGGTGTGGCGAGATGCTTGGATTGGAACTTGAAGTTATCGAGTTTTTGTGAGATTTTGATGATCTGAAGTTTTGAAGGAGGAGTGAAGATTTACTGGCGAGGGATAAAGAGGCAGGTTGCTTTTACAGGTGGTGTCGCGATTTGCAGCATGAATCTCTGGAGTCAAGACCAGGCCAAAACTGACCTCTACGCGGATAATTTCAATTTCTCTAGACAATCGCAGCGGTCGCATGACTTGAATTGACGTCCTCGAAGATATCTTCGCGCGTATCCAAACTTTCATTTGCTATCGATGTAGAAAATGTTGCGGCTAGTGCCGCATATTCAAGTTGTAAAAGGGGGGTGTGAGAACAAAGAGGATCTTCTCAGCATTGTTGAAAATGTTAAGCTTTCGGTTGAGTGACATGCTTGTTGTATGCTAGTCGTTGATTTTAGGATTATCGGGCGTGTTTGATTATGGAGATCTCCGTGAGGTCGTCGTTGTTTGTAGGATTTGTTGAAGTGAAGACATGGGATGTTCGTTGTTGTGGTCACTGATCGTGGTTGAATATCGTGGCATTTGCCGTGAAATAGTCTTTGTTTGTATTTATTGGTCTTGTAGTCTTATAGCAATTTGTATCTCAAGTAGAAGTATCCTCCTCTTCATAGACTTTTCTATTCATATGCCCTGGCTATTCCTCAGTTGCTTCAAATTAATCTTGATATATCTACTCTACCAAAAGTTTCAATTCCTTACCAACTATCAATATGAGTACGCCTAGCGAAATACTGAGTTTACCACCCGAAGTTCTTGCAACTATTCCCGCTGGGACTCCACCGGCTGGAGTCCAGGCACTTTCCCCAAATCCAGCCAGGAGGGGTTGGCTTCTGATCACTGTCAGCAGCATTCTGTTCTTCATGGCAACAACATGCTTCATCATCCGTGTATATACGAGGACGGCAATCCAGCGAAAGGTGGCTCGAAGCGATTGTTAGTCAATTATTTGTCTAACCCTTTCATTCCAATTTCATTAGCTGATTAGATTATAGTCATTTTACTAGCTGGTTTCGTAGGTGACATTCTGCCCATCAGCTTCATACATCAATCTAAGATTTCATTTGCCTATAGATTATGGTGATAGTATTCTATATTACGTCGATATTAAGTACAGTTCAATTTCTTCCTGACAAGCAATCTACTGACATTTGCACAGTGGTTACTTCTGGTACCCTTGGCCTGCACGACTGGGATTATTCATTATTAGATATAACTTCTAAGAAAAACTTAGTGGTAAGTCTCATTCTATTCCATCGACTTCAACGCATTCATTTCTCCGAATGTATTACTTATTTTATCAGCCATTCTACATCACTGGCATCACAATCAGTCCTGCTTTTGGCCTTGTGAAGCTCTCTATATTCGTTATGTACCTTGAAATATTTGCGGGTTTACGCTGGATGCAAATCTGCGTTTATATTGGTGCAACATTCTCCTCCGCCTTCTACTTGGCTCTTACGATCCTCCACTTTTACCTCATGACACCCTTTGGTAGGGAAACATTTGCTTCGAGGTTATTCACACCTCAATATGCCATGTACATACGTATAGGTGTACCCACGTCTGTTATTTCGTTTGGAATCGACATTTACCTTTTCATTTTGCCACTCGTTGCAGTCAGTAAACTGCGTATTCCAAAAAAGAAAAAGATCTTTGTGATGATAGGATTTGGCATAGGATTACTGTAAGCAGACTCTACCTGAAAGCAATATAAGAACTTTTGCTTTACTGACAGTATGATGACAGAGCTTGCATTGGATCGCTTCTAAGCCTCATATATCGTGTGATTAACACTCGGAGTCATGATCGTTCATGGAACGGTCTCGCTGTCGTCCTCGTGATGTGAGCCCAATCTCTACCCGGAGTTTTGCGCTATTAATTTCAGAACACTGACGAAGAGATAGATTGGTAGAGTTATTTTGTGGCATAATGATCGCCTGTTACCCGTCTTTACTCCTTTTTTTCCGCAGACACAGCAAAAAGTTCAGCGAATTGGGCGCGGTGGTAGCACATTGGTTGTGTTGCACCAGATGCAGGAAGTCAAATACAGTGGCCAAGAATTCTCAAGATGCCAGTAATGTTTCTGAGCCAACGCCGGCTGAGGACAAAAATCTTTACCCCGATCTTGATTTCTTGACCAAACCTGGAGATATTGAACGTGGAGAATTGGAAAAACGGATGGAAAATAGAATTGGACGAGATGTGATAGCCGTGTGATGGATCCTAGGCATTCGCAAAGTTTGTGTCGAGGTCAGACCTACATCGGAAAGTTATGATTTATTGGACAAATTGTTAAAGGTTATTCTTCTACGCCTCATACTAATCGTACTATTCGATCTATGGTGGCGCAGAGGTTGTGGAAGGCAATTCTATGGGATTTAGGGAGGCTCAGGAATTGCCTAATCTAATATTTTAGATGGTTTTATCTATCCTCTATGGACTGGTAATTTGGATGTCATTAGACAGTTCTAGATACTTGCGGAGAGGTGTATATAAAAGCTGATTGTTGAAAGAAATCTTAAATGTGTAAAACACAGTCCGCAAAAGTGCCTTGCATGAAAGCGCTCGTCATTCAAATGAGAGGAGACGTGCAGTCGTCTTCATCAACTCGAATTTGCCGAGAGCACAAGCACAAGCATGAATATCAATTCATTTGTAAGATTACAATTTGTTGTGTTTGAGTAATTTCATCAAAATATCACAACAGATAACTCCCTAGCCTGAAGTCCAGCCGCTACAAGATTAAATTTTGGAGAAGATCCGTACGAACTATCTTCCATGTCTAGGAAAGTAGAAGTACTTGCATTTCCAACAATATTCCACTTATCCCACTAAAATCACATTACAAAGTCGAAACGAAAGAGAGCTGGCAAACTGTCAAGTAGATATAAAATATTCATGTCTTCTAAGATCGATTTACTAGCTCCGAGGAGACAGAGCTGGCATCGTAAAGAGTCATCGTTGTAGTGTTTTCCCAATATTACTCAATTATTTTTTCAGCAAACGCACTTTATAATTACTTTGAATAAGTGATGAGTGGACAGATCCATGTGTCGAATGAAGATAGATTGGAAGTTAGTTTATATAATCAACTTTCTGAAAGAAATAGGTTCATGTTCGAGATGGGATATTGAATATCCTGAAAGTATTGTGTCATAATTTATTTTTTTATGATAAACTATTTCTACCTGTAAAAGCTTTATTCTAAAAATTCACAGCATATGTATCCCATGTCTGCAAATGGCATCCCTGCCAAAATCTCATATTCCAGATCTTATTCCCGCCGTACCAATCCCTAATATTTTCCCATCAAAAACGCCTTTCATGAAATCGCCTAAACAACAGGAGCATTCCTCCCTTCACCACTCAATGGACCCTGACGAACAATCGAAATCTGCACCGATCTCAAGATTCCTCGTTCCTCATCAACACACTTCATCTGCGAATTACCCCCTTCATTTCTCATTCCCGTAGCCGTCGCTGTATTCCCCAAGCTGACCGTCGAAAAAGCAGCATTATGTCCCTCCCACTCCTCTAACACATCGTAGCTTTCTGAACCCCTCCTCTCCCCCCTTGACCCCGACGGCATCCTGCGATGTTGATTCCAGGAAGAACTATCACTACTCTCCTTCGACTCTTTAGACTCAGCAGACGAATTAGAAGACTTCGAGAGCGAAGAGACAAAACTACACATTCTTGACACGCGGGGTATCTGTGACATCGTTTTAAAGAATTTGGGTAATGTCGGTAGACAGCTTGTGATGATACCGGCTCCTAACTCTACATATGAGGGAATACACATGATACTCGTATACCAGGTAGCGTCGGGATTTTTCAGTAATTTTAATGAAACGAATAGTCGCGCCATGGATGCTATGCAAGCCCTGGAGATAAATTAATAACGGGGGACATGTATGTACCAATGTGAACTTACAGAAGTCCTGTTGAGAAAACAGCGGAGACGCCAACGTGTTCCTTGAAGCTCATCTGTAGCTTCCAAATGATGGGTTGCGGAAGCAAAATAATAAGAAAATCGGTTATAGTATTCGCCGTCCCAGTCGCTAGGAATAAGTAGTTCACATCAAGACAGTGGCCCGTAGTATCCAGTACGTTCCAAAACTTTGGTATAGGGGTACAAATGAAAATTGTCATGAACAGCAGGATCGTATAGAATACGATAGTTATCCACATGAGTGTATGGCAACTCCAAAACATTAAATCTCGTGTTCCTGCAGTAAAGAGCCGAATGTATTGTAGCAATATCGAGATCTTGATTGACATTATCGCAAGACCGAATGATATGGATGTAATGTAGGTACCCTAGTCACTATGAGTTACCATCAAACGACAAGATACATTATACGTACATAGAGAAATGTTTGGTAATCCTTCAATCTAATATCCCATTGATGTCGTCCGAAAACATTGGGATCAAACCCGGTTGTTACGTTAAAAACAATATAACCGCACTGTAGTTTACTACTCAGCATCTGACAGAGTATCTAGAGAAAGATTGAAGTACCCATGCTGCAACTGCAATATCTAAGCAAGTCAGTGCCGAATTCAAACGATCATATGTCATGATACATACAATCTTCCAAATGTACCTCTCGAATAATCCTCCACTTGGTGTATACACGTATGAAAATAGCCAGAGTGGCTAGAATAGTAGTCACTATCTTCACCGCATCGGCTGCTGGTCGAAGGGAATAAGGATTATCAAAATTCGAGGTAACACCGGGTGGAGGAGTCAAAGCCGGTCCTTCCAATAGCTCAATCTGGGATTGCGACATTCCTATCATAATAAACTTGGCACACGCAAAAGAAAGAAAAAGTCAATTTCAGGAATCGCAAGTGAACAATTGACTGAAGACTGGCACATAAGCTACTGATAATATGTTGAAAATTCGTCTGACATCAGCCCGGTCATGACCGGACTTGAGGAGAAAGGCTGTGCACCTTGAAAGCATTGTGTAAGGGGAAAGAAAATATATCCTGCCCCGACAAGGTTGATTGGTAGATATTCCACCAAACTGATTTCTGGCTCTTGGCTTGCATGCACTTACATTTCAGCCCTACCTCGACTGTAGCTCGAGTATATTTCAGCTGCCTGAAAGAGTTCACATTGTAACGTTTCAAGAGCACGTTTGTCGGGATTGAGGAAATACTGATGTAACTTTATGTACTGTACTGTTCAAGGCGTAGACTTAGACACAATATGGATTGTATCTTTCTCGATGCTGAAAATATCATATGATCTACTTGTGTTGTTGAAGATGAAAGTGGTGGGACAATAATATATATCACGTGCCATTCCCGTGATACTAAGTACTTAATCGTGCTAATGATCTTCAAAATTTCCGCTACTGCTTGATACAAATATACAGTTCCTCCCGAGTGAGGAAACCATGTTAAATGAATATGTTAATCGAGATTAACACTGCTTAGAACTCGATGAGGATCAGATAGTATTGGTATTGTCAAGTAAGACCTCAAAATCGTTGCATGCCAACTCTTTTCTCTTCCACTATGCACAGAAAGTCAGTATCCAGTCCAAATAAGAGCGAGTTCTCAAGAAACTTACATCAAAAGCAACCTGTACATCTCTGAACAACGGTTCTCCAAAAATCCACATATCTTCCATTCCATTCCCATCCACGCCATCGTTTTCAACTTCTTCACTTCGGCCATCTTTCTTGCCAAACCTGCCCTCTACTATAACTCCCACACAATACCCACTACCTCTCTCCATCCTCCCCAAGCTGAATTTTCCTCCGGGTGAAAACCCTCCTTCGTCCCTTTTGCCATCCAATACCTTGACTCTCAAATTGCCAAACTCGAGTAGTAAGTGAGGTGGGTTGAAACACGGGTAGGCATGGAACTGATCATAAGGTGGTGGAAGTTGACGAGAGCCGGATATGGATGAGTACAAATTGCGGACTTGATGTGGTGGACCGATTATGTAGGGAGTATTGACCTTAGGATGTTAGCGGGTTGTGAAAAATGCGGAATGAGGAGGTAAATGGGAGGTAAAATATTCGAACTTACATCCAATACTATCGGCTGGTTCTGAATAAGTTTATTTCCGTCAACCCAAATTCCTTTCATGAGAATTTCCCACCATCCATCTGCACCTCGAACTTTACTCCATTCCCAAACACTTTCATCATTCGTTTTCCAAGTCACATCATTGTTGTCCGATGAAAATCCATCTCTCTTCATCAATCCTATCTCTGAATTTTTCTCAAACTCGTCGTGTTTGGACTGCAGTTCCAATCCGTTCATATTTCTGAATCCATCGTTCCAGTTTGCAAGACATCTACGTCCCTCTTCAATTCATCATTTTGAGGTTGGAATTCACTTACCCCACCTGCTTCGAGTTTCTTCAATTCCTTCTCGATCAATTCTTCCACCTCTCTAACCGCCTCGACTGAAGATCCTCCCACACTAAACACCCCTTCATGTCCATTAATCAGCATCAAGCTCCAGATCTCAGTATCAACAATTCCACTCTTAACAATCTGCCCCAGCAATCCTCCCTCCCAACCCCCAACCTGTCCCAGCCCCTCTCCTATAGCCAACCCCAGACTTGCACCACTATTTCCCAGACTACCAATCCACTGTTTCTGCGGTCTACAATGTGCAAAATTGACCGGTATATACCTATCCCCTTTCAAGCCAGCAAGCATGTCAAACCCCAACGGTAATCCCACAATATCCTTCCCACACCTACAACCCGAAAATTCATCCCCTTTCCCTCTTCATTCTCATTACTAACACTATAGGTCCCACTCCTCTCTTCGAGATAAAAACTTCCCTTCCCACTCGGCGTACTGATAATCGCAAAATCCGCCGTCAACATATTAAGATCAAGATCCACATTCTGGGAAGGCTCGCCAATTTTCAACGACGTAAACCAAGATCCAGAATTTCCGACTTCGCCGAGAGAGTAGTTCCTGGTTGGAGATATGTTCCAGATCGGGGTTTCAAATTTGTGGTATTGGTGATTTTGGCCATCGTGCCATCTTTTGGGCACTCTAACGACTTTATTCCCTTTCAGTATTCTTTCGGAATTTGTGAATCTGGCATTTATATCTGCGAGTGTGGATTGGAGAAAGGTAAGATTAGCAGTATCGGGAGCGGGGAAAGAATCATCGCGACGATTGATGGTGTAGTGTAATGGTGGAAGCGTGGCAATGGTGAGGTTTGTAAAAGGAATGATGATGAGGAGGAGGATAGTTGAGAGATGGAGACCTGAAACATACATTTTTGAGGTCTGTGTTGAATGTATGGTATCGGGGTGCATTGTGAGAGATGGGATGAGTTAAACGAAATTGAGAAGCCATCTTAAACATGGAATCGGGAAAGTGCAGCTCACGAGGAAAGTCGGATGGGCGTCACTTACATCACCTCAAACGGAAAGAACATTCTCTTGATTGTGATCACCGATTTCATTGCCATGAATAAATCAATCAAGGAAGTTGATAAATAACAAGTGAAACGAACCACGTAATACAGCCGTGGAAATCATTGAATGAAAGAGAACATTGTAGTAAATTATGCCAAATACAATAAAACTACATGGTGCCAAAGCCACGAACGATCATAATTCATACAACCTCCCCACCATCTTCACCAATCTCGCATAATCTTGCAATCAATTGGTATCGAGCTTTGAGTCATATCTCTCCAACTTCAATGCCGCCAAATCTAAATCCTCGACACCCCTTATCAAATCTGCTGCCTTCTCGCCAATAGCATATGCAGGCATTTGAGTATGTCCTTGATTAAGAAGAGGCATGACACTTGTATCGGCAACCCTAAGATTCCTGACTCCTCTAACTCTCAGTTCTTCATCGAGAACTGCCATTGGGTCCGATGCCTTGCCCATTTTGACTGTTCCTCCAGGGTGATAACAGGTTGTAGCGTTATCTTTGATATAAGGGACCCATTGCTCTCTTGATGTGTATGCATGATGCGTCAAGTCTTTAGGCCAACTTCCCTCAACTATGTCCTTGGTACCTTTTCCTTTCATAATAATCTCATTCGCATATCTGCACGCCTCGCTGAGAACCACGATATCCAGCTCTTCACTTAAGTAATTGTGATCGACAACCGGGTTATCCTTTGGATCTTTGGACTTTAAAGTGACGGTACCTCTACTCTTAGGTGCGAATAATTCAGCAATGATGGAAAAGGCATGGGATTTTTCTCCGTCTGGAAATTGAGTGTAGTGTTTTGGGCCACCGTAGCATTCTGTAGTAAAGAACTCCACATTTGGTTGTGATTTGGTTAGTCCCATCGGATCTCGGCCTGGTTGTCGTGGTGCTGAAGTCCAAGCTGGTTCCGAAGCAAGACGCTCATCAAGGCGAGAATATGCGAATGCACCAAAAGGAAAGGTAGAGAGAGGTCCACGCTTTTCTTCTTTCCATTGTCTGTAAGCTTCACCCAAAGCATTTGGACGATACAAGAGGTAGTCATTGGTAACATTTGGCTTGGTTGTTTCGTAAAACATGAACACAATCTGGGATTCTGTTAGCGATGTTAAACCGAGAAATAGTGGGTCGCTACCATGTGATCCATAAGATTTTTCCCAACTCCAGGGAGGTCAATTTGACAATCAATACCATGAGATTCAAGCTCGGACTTTGCTCCAATCCCTGATCGCATAAGAATGGTTGGAGAGCAATAGGCTCCTCCACTAATGATGACCTCTTTCTTAGCTCGGATCTCTTTCTCTGTTCCATCTTTCTCAATTACTTTTACAGCTGCAGCTTTCAGCTCATGAGGGAACGCATGGCTTTCGAGAATCACTTTATCGACAATTGTGCTAGTTTTTATCGCAAGGTTTGATCCTTTGTTGATGAAGTAGTTGGCCGAGGTAGTTCTATCTCCTTTATACACACTCCTTGGTGCATGGCCACAACCGTTTGGAGTCTCGCCAGTTGAGAACATATCTGGATGAAGTGGAAGACCTTGATCGGCCATTGAATCCAAAATCATGTTAGATATAGGGGCCTAAGAAGATCAGTTCATTGTACCAAAGATTGCTTGTAATGCCACTTACCAGATCATGAGGCTCAACATCCAGCAAACCATCGTGACCATGTACCGAATCATTTGCTTCAAACCAGTCTTTGTTATGGAAGTTCTCTGCCTATATGACTGTCAATATGAATCAAAATTAAGTTTATTATGATTCTACCTTCTTCATGTATCCAAAAACTTCCTCTCCACTCCATCCTGGCATTTCCCAGTCATCGTAGTCTTGTGGTGTGCCCCTGATACACAATGTACCGTTAACTCCGCTCGATCCACCAAGGAACTTGCCACGACTGGCTTTGATTTGACGATTGTTAATCCCCCTATTTGGTTCCGTGGAGATGTTCCAGTCTGCTTCCGTGTCGAAATTCTGTGACCTACTCATGATATTTGAGCTCGACTTCATAGAACGAAAGAAAAGGCTCTTACCATCCACCGACCATAATAGTGTTCTCGAGAAGAGAATTATGCTCTCCTGCTTCGATAACTAGAACAGAATTGTTGGGATCTTCTGCCAATCTTGCTGCAACAACGGCGCCGGACGTCCCACCTCTAAAGAACGTTCATCAGAGATGACCACTAAATCGAGTAGTGAGAGATGGAGCATACCCGCATATAATATAGTCATATTCAGCACCTTCTGGCTTTACTGTGATAACCATGATGAAATTCAACGTTAGAACGTGTTATGGGAAATGATGCAAAATGAGATGATGTTACCAAAAATCGAGGTTGGAACAAAAGAACTCTTAGAAGAGGTGCCATCTTCGATATTATATGAACCATTTTGAGTCTAGAACAGTACTAAGGCTTACTTAGCCTAGATAGATAGTACTTCGCCTCAATACGAAGTAGATATAATGAGGCGAGTGGGGGCACCTAGTAGCTCATAATTAAGCACGCTAAACCCTAATAGAATTGACGATCTTCATTTTGATCCATTCTTCAGCATGTGCTAAGTCATCACTGTGCGTGTAATATCACCCTTTCAGCCCTTTCGGCCAATGATAAGTCACGAGGAGTAATCACTGTACTATCCATGTGGATTCCAGGCTGTGTATATTGGCTTGGTTACCTCTAGATCTTATGCCAAAACATATCACTCGAGGGCTGACACACGAGAATCATCAAAAGTCATTGACATCTGAGAAGCGGGCTCAAGGGAGGCAGGGGAGGTGAGTATGTGTCTGCGCAATCATGTCCGCTCTCGTACCCGGATGAACTGTTTATGATTTATATCTTCCTCCAAGTAAAGAAGGAGTTGATTGTATGAGATGGTGTTTTAGAAAAGAGTATGAAGTACCTAGGTAAACTATACTATCTTTGTGGGGGAAATGCGGGGTTGTTCGAGAGATCCGTGCCACGGAAATTTCCCGGCACGTGCTTTGACGGAATTACGACCGCTTTGGAATTATCATTGATTGCAAAAAATGTAAAGACGAACAAACAAACAGCTTCGACGTCGAGCAGCTCTCATACAAGGTAATGCCCATGCAAACATGAAGGCTCTGTCTTGCAAGAGAGATCAAGGATTTGATACCTAGATGTTGTTAAAATGACAATAACACAACAGCTTTTTTGACTTTGAGGTTGTTTGAACTCATCAGCTTATGGTTAACCTTACGGCGACGACGACAAGTAAGAATAGACACTTAATACAAAGGCATTGTTGACAAACAAGGCACAAGAGTTATTCTTTGTTGTAAATCTATCAACACCGTGCCCTTGATTGGTCCTTGAAGATTGTTTCGCTTGTTCTCTGAAATTTTGTCGAATGAAGAATAGAACAAACATAGTAGAGAGCCTATATAAGAACAGAACAGACCGTCTATCCAAAGATAACTTCTCTCAAGTCTCCCGTAATTCATTTCAATAGATAACTATTTTAGGAAGTTCCATATTGACTGAAATATTTACACGCGTACTCATAACCAAGCGAAGTGCAGTAGTAAGCCTACCACTCAATAGTGTCATATCATATAAAAAGGTTGATCAAAAATAGTGCTATATCAAAAGGTTAGTCAATATGTCTACACCATTTCTCTCTACTGACTTCACGTTTGGGGTAGAATTTGAGCTTGGCATTCGCTTCAAAAAAGGATCCTCTCCTGACTACAGGAAACTTGGCCCGGGTCAGGTTTATAGTTTTATCAAAGAAACTTTGATTGTTGAAACTGGGCTTGAGATATTGACAGAAGCAGAGATTGACCGTGACTCTCCCCATTTTTCCAACCCAAATAAAGATCCCAATAAAATACATCAGCAAGACTTATTCGACACATGGGCCATTGGTACAGATGCCACCATATCATTCCATGCAGAGGAACATGCAGACAGATCCTCGATGTTCGTCGAGCTTGAATTGGTAACACCAGTCATGAAATTTGGTCCGAAAGCTTTGAAGGAAATTGAAAAAATGCTAACTGCTTTCAAGAAACATTTCGATGTTGTTGTCAACCAGTCATGTGGTCTTCACGTTCATGTTGGCAATGGAACTAAAGGCTTGTCTTTTGAACCGTTTCAATACCTCATGGCAACTATTTGGATTTTCGAACTTCAGATTCTCTCCCTTCTTCGAAAGTCAAGGAACAATGGTCGCTATTGTGGATCCCTTCATAAACGCTCCAATCTTGGTGTGTACAAATTCGAGGGGAATTTACTCGATGTCCTTTTCAATACATCTGACATCAACGAAGTCGTGGCCATGTTCAATGGATATAACTATTTCAGCTACATGGCTTTTAAACTTGAATTTCTTCTCCAACCTTTTCCAAATCCTGTCAAGAGAACTATAGAGTTCCGAGCACATGAAGGAAGTATGGATTCAGAGACCGTCTTGAACTGGGTATCTTTTGTTGTTGAATTAGTGAGCTGGGCTCACAAGATCAACCGTCAAGATTTAAAGATCTTTCTTTCAAAACACATTGATTCCAAAGATTCGTCAATAGAGGACCTTTTCAATGAGATTGGTTTCCCACAATCAACTGTTGAATTCTACCGAGAAAAAGTCAAAAAATTACGAGAAGTTGAGAAGAGGGAAGCTGAGGAAAAGAGAGCAATCAAAAAGAAGAAGGCGGAGAAGAAAAAGGCTAGAGATGCAGCCAGGGCTGCAGGAGAAATAGTTGAGAGCAGCGACAGCAGCCAAGACAGTAGCTTGGATACATTAGAATCGGGATCATTGGTCTTTTGAGGCGGAAGCTCATCAAGATGGCTTTCTGCCTATCATTCGTTTTGCCCCATTCTGGTAATTTCACGTTGATCTGCAAACAGTTTCTCGTTCTTTCCCTACAAATTTAAATAATCCATCATAATTCAATCAATAATTTTGACCAATGGGCAACTTTCGTTTCCTTTTGCATTAAAATAATCTTTTCTCTTCTGTAATGAAAAATGTTTGCACTGATAACAAAAATCGTTCACTTCATTAATCAAGTAGTGTCGCTGTCGTACATGTCAATTACTAATTTACTTAAATTCAATCTTGCCATCCATTTCCATACTAAGACGTCACATTCTTATTAATTTATTCAATACTCAGCCCAGTGCTAGTGATAAATACGGAAAGTGCAACTATGTGAATGTCTAGCCTAATTTGTGTGTTCTAGAACAGTTTCGGAACAATGAAAGATACAGTCTCAATGTCTATCTCTCGTGGAGATTACGCATGCAATCTTACCACATTTCTTCTCATATTCGAGTTCTTGTAAAGTGAGTAAAAAGGAAGCAGAGGCTTGGAAATTCCGGAAAGCAAGAACAAAATATCGTTTAGCCAGGACCAACCGACGTGCTTATATACGGCTGACAACTCATGTCTACTTGCTGTTTTCTATCATTAATTTTTGGATGATCCCCAATCCTCGCACTTTCCTTCGCTTAATCGCTTGTTTATCCCTATTTATCTTTTCAATTCTCCCCGAATCCTACTTCTGACCACTAATTTCTTTACATTCGTTGTATCAATTGTTCAACCCCATGTATAAATATTTTATTTCTACGTATTTGGATACAAATAAATAGGATTATCTTTGCATTATCGATTCCACGCGGCAAATCGCAGTTTCTCAAGATGTCAAGACTTTCAAAATATATGACGAGTTACTTTCGAAAAACACCTCAAGCTCCACAATCACCAAGACAATCAATAGAGCTTGACATAGTAGATACTAATGGAAGACCCCTGATTTCTCCAAAGGCCAATGAGATTTTAGATGAGATTGAAAATGGAATGTATGTATCTCTCTCTTTGTATGAGGTCATTCTGAACTTCAAAGTCGACTCCTTTTTGCAACCATTCATTAGCTAAACTAAATTATCAGAAGGATCTGTCCTATCTGCATAGATACTCTTGCAGCTGATATATCAGAGATCTGGAGCTACCATTGCTGCTATCATGTCTTTCATCCTAGGTGTATCAGGGGATGGGTTATCACTTCGACCCGATCACCAAATAGTGTTAAGTGGAGATGCCCTGGATGTAATACTACTGAACGTAGGGGCCGCCCGCTACCCTCTTGCTGGTGCAAAAAACATAGTTCCAAAACTATAGAGATTAATGCAGGTAGCTGTGGTCAGTCCTGTTCGAGAAAACGGCGTTGTGGTACTCGGCGCAATTGCCCCACGTATATATGCTCAGCAATATGTCATCCTGGACCATGCTTTGAACCCACATGCACAGATAACTGCGGAGAGGAGATACCCCAAGAGCCAGACGATCAGCAACAACTTGCTGATTCAATTGCCGATTTCCAAAAAAATCTCTGGTATCTCATACCTATCTTTATATTCAATTTCCTTGCAATTCTCTGGACTGTGAATCGTATTCGGCGATTTACAACACCACTCGAAAACCAAAAATTCACAGAAGGGGAGTTTCGTAAGCACGAGCAAAATATCTGTTTTGTAGCTGCTGCTGTCCTCTTTGTGTTGAATTCGATTATGTGGGGCTCTAATCTACATAGCATCAATAAGTGTCTCAGGATCTATCTAGGTTTAAGTACATCGATACGAGTGCCTACATCATATTCTATCTCATGGAGAAGGACAAAAATCATCGCTGCAAGGGTGGTTCTTACTATCTTGTGGATTATATTCATTATTCTTGTCTTTTGTATTCCAGCCGTGTAAGTATTAATTTTTTTTCTTCCATTTTTTTTCTTCTATAACTGACGTACCCGCCGACTACTCTTCGGACCAGGCCTTCACTGGAATCTTCGAACAAGCGGCACATGCGATAGCTTCGACACACGTATCAAACTCTCTGAACCATCTGTTGATTACTTCGGTCTTCACAGCAGAACAACAAAAGAAGGGAGAATCCACATCAACCATCTATACACTCAAACGCCTGGTCTATACCCATATCCCTCCTGGAAAGATTACGAATCCTACAAATCTGGCGTTAATCTCTTCAACATCACCAGAATAAATAATACAGCTCTAAACAACCCTACATTACCGACCAGTAAGCCATTCGACAAATCCTGGCGCATCATGGGGATTTATGGCGATAAACCCATGCATTTGGATTTTGATCTCTTGCATCGCTCTTGGCGTATGAAGGAGGGAATTATAGTCATTGACTCTGAAGATCCCAGTTCCTCTTTCTACAAAGGAGGAGTCTTATTCGATCGCCTCAAACCAGGGGAAATCTACGACTCAAACAAGACCTCTCATCTAGTTCCTAATTTCGGGATTGCAATTCAAAATCTTCATGAAGTACGCAATGGAACATGGACAGCCACCGATGCTGAGAATATGGAGCTTGAATTCCCTGAATTGGATCTGCATATTCCTATGTGGGGACTCTTTGAAAAACATTGTGTGTATCAAAGTTTCATGAGAGTTTTCCGAAGGCCAACTGACGAAAGTCGGAAAACGTGGAATACTTGGAGCAAAGAAAGCAATGGAGAGGAAGTGATGAGAACTGCGAGCTTTGGGTATGGTGGAAATAAGGGACTGCAAGTTTGTGTGAAGAGGAGGAATTATACGTGGTCTACTTCTGCTGGAGTTCAAGTGACGGAACCGGGGTTGGGAGAGGATCTTTTGGTGCCGTTGGGGTTGATGGCTGTGGTAAGGAGGAGTATGAGGATGGAACAGGGGAAGATGAGGGATAATTGTCGTTGGCCGGAAGATTGAGAGTCTTTGTGTTTTTGGTGATTCTTCTTGATTAGCGTTTGAAAGGGCGAAGAATTGGTAGAGGTAGCTCGGTCAAGAGGCTACAGCGTTCTGATTGTTTTAGTCACTTTTGTGACACAGCGTAGATGTCTCACAATGAAATAGCAGAGAATTCTAGTTTATAATGTATTATTCAGCACAATTATACCATTTCCAATATCTTATTCATTGAAAAAGTTGTTCTAGATTTGCACTATATTCCACTTGGATGATATTGCGGGTAGTTCTAGCAAGTTCACCTCGTGCCATCGGTATTTAGCGAGGAAATTCCTTAACTTCAAGGTATGTCTCTCACTATCTCGCTGATCATAAATGCTGCTATGCTGTTTATTATGAGCTGAGATGATTGGTTAGATTGATTTCACAGTTGGATTCGTGCTTGTCTCGTTCCTTACACGAGTATGTTTGACATGACTTCGGTTTGAAGCATGGCGGTTCATGATACTTCATCAGGACTCTGATGATCATGTTCACTCAGAAGTTTGTCAAATTCCCGCAATCGAAGGAGCGGACTCGGTTTAAGAGTATATTTGATGTGCCATTGATCCGTTATTCGCGTTGTAAGTATGGTTGGTTCAGTGAATTTGCATACCAATGAGTGGCCTCAGTTTTGCGCTAGCACTAGATTGCTTTCGTAGAGGTCTACTTGGTAGATTAAATTCACTATCACGTATCAAAAAAAGTACTTAAGCGATCCCCCACGTCAATTACCCCATCTTGTCTCTCATCCTCTACAACCAAGAAAGAACTCTCCAAGACCTCTCTCAAGTCTCAGCAACAATGACAAACTTGAGTAAAGCCAACGGCTTTCCGCTCTTGAAGGGCTCTATTGATCTTTTATTACTTCTTCCACACTATCTCGACAATATTGAAGATTTCGTTCACCTTTCGTCCAGTTGTAAAACTTTGCAAGTTTCACCTGAGATATAGTCATTGCAGGTGACATTTTCGCGGAGATTGATTTCTGTTGTGTGTAGGCACAATATCTACACTGAACATCTTCTATTACCTGGATTACTATTTGAGCTGGCTGCTTCTTCTTCTCTGGAGATTTTTGAGCCCAAGCCTCATTTCCTCATCGCGGGTGTCGCAAGTCAAATTGGTGAATGGGCTATTCAGAGTATGTGACTTGAAGCTGTATAAACAATGGTCTGTACTGACTCTATGTGTGTTTTACAGCACGCGAAAATCGTACTGAGTTTCATGAATCCTTCAAAACAGAAGGAATTTCTGGATTGTTCGAGCTCTGCAAGAAGAGGGGAAAGTTGACCCTCGACGAGATGCGCGACCTGTTTAATCGGAAGTCTACTCTCAGCTCGCTTGTTTTTATTCTCAGGAAAGATCGGGATTGCTCACATGCATGGTATCACGAGCGTACAGAAATGTTACCTTATTTACAAATCGCAATGTTTGGAGGTCTTTTCGCTGCTAGCGTACGCAGTTTTTTGCGAGCCAGGAGTTACGAGTCCATTGCAAACAAGCATTAGATTAGACTTGTGGGTAAGTGCTGCCCAGATATGTCGTGCAATGATAGTTGGGATATAATCGATGCACAGCCCTCTTTGATCGGAAATGGTCAGATGTACAAATAATGAAAGGTAAGAGTCTGAGGTGATATTTGTTAGTACAATGACTAATGACCGGATTGTGCTCCAAATTACCGCGATGCTTCAAACACCCACTCTAATCTCAATGATGAAGCGAATTCCCAAATGCTTCGTCACTTTAGCAGAGGAATGTAGAGATATTTCCTATGAGAATAGTTATCACGAAAGAAACTCCGTTTTCTCTGCTCTTATTTACCTCTTGGGCTAATTATTATACTCGCGGGTTAGATCTTATTAATAAAACCTTGAGATTACCAGAACCTGGTCTGACTGGGCGTACACCAGACTAGACACATCCAATATATATGAAAGTCTTAAATATTGATGTTTCTATCTTTACCAATGGTCTCTGAATATATCCGAGGTAAAATTGAACATCCTTACGATAGTTTCATCCTAACCGTGTTTTCAAATAGCATCTAGGTGTTCTTTGTCGGGAGGGGAATGAAAATGTGATGTGTCAATTCCTAGCCTCATCCAATATCACACTTATTCCAACACATATATTCTCATCAAGTTTTCAAGTCCTGTATCCCATAGATCAACATTCACTAAAGTCTACATGACTAAAATATTATAAATCGACCTACATAACTGTTCACTCTGTCTTGCCTACGCGAGCTCTCAGCACATGATATTAAGATTTGGCTCGCGCTACATGATCCAAGGATTGGGTTATCCACCAAGTATGATTAGACACAGCATCTCACCTAGCACTGGACTCCCATATGTGTTCGAACAAGATTTTCCAATCTATCTCAAGCTTATAATTTTGATTTGATCTTTAATTTAGGTAGATTGTACCCATTCCACTTTGCTTCTGCTTAACTCACAGCCCCAAAATCCCTCCCAATCTATCTTGAATGCTCTTAACCTGTTCTAGAGCCATGACTTGACTTCCCATAAGATACACCACATTCCCTAGTATTCTCGCATGGATATTCCATTCCCCATCTATGCCCGCCACCTTACCATCCAACATATTTTCTCTCACTGTTTCTGTGACTCTCGAGGTGTAGCCTCCTCCTTGCTCATCCTTGAAGGTAATAGCTAATACACTACCCAAAGCAATCACTCCGTCTACCGACTCCAGGTGAGAGATCGAGTTGACAAAAGATTTACTCCATATACTCCAGACCTGGTTATTTCCACTTGCACCCTTCACCTGGGTTGCAGATTTAGAAACAGATTCTTGGGTTTCAGGATTCCAGTCATTTCTAAATCCCTCCCATGCGCCATTTTTATCGCTGTCTAATTTGTCCATGGTTTCGAGACCTACACGTGCGACTTCGCAACCGACGGCATGACCGGTATAACTATGTCCGTGTAGAAGTGCTTCGCTTTTTTCGTCGCCGAGGAATGCTTCGTAGATACCCTCACTAGCGACGGTTGTGCAAAGGGGTAGTAGACCGCCGGTCAATAGCTTAGCATGAACTGAGATATCCGGGTATGTATGTAAGAGTGTAGAGGGACTGAAGTGTCCGAGACGGTAGAGACCTGTGAATACCTCGTCGTGGATGACGGGAAGTCCGGTCCATTGGTTTGGCGAAGACTTGTAACCTTCGGGAGGAGGATTGGCTTCACCGAGTAGTTGTTCAGGAATGTTACGGATGACGTTTGTTAGGGTGCGTTGGAAAAGGGGGTCGCTTTTAATTTGTGTCAGAAGGGAGTTTGAGAAAGAGGTAGATGTATGTGACTTACCAGAACAACATGCCACCCGCCCCAAGGATGATTGGCTCCAAAACCAAGGCACCGAATTTCATCCCCTGTTCATTGGCCTTTCGAAGTTCAGCCAAAATATGTTCTTCATACTTTTTCTTCAACTTGCTACTATCTCTCTGAGAACTGAACACAATTCCCAATTCATCAAATGTCTCCTCGATATTCTGACTGGTTCCGTCATAAACTACCCATTTTCCATCTTTCATCCAGACTTTTGGTACGTCAAACCATAATCCTCTTCCTTTGTACCAATGTACTTTTTCGTTATAAACGCTTCCTTCACTTAGATCCATGGCCCCTATGGTATCTCCATGGTAACTGCCTTTGAGTCCGATAATTCCCACCTCTCTACTCTTTTCGGGATTATTCCCCCAACTGTAATGCTTACTAGCAGCAGTCAAGGCCATCTTAACAGCGACTTCCATGCCAGTGCTACCATTATCAGAGTAAAAGACTCGAGAGAGACGAGGATTTTTGAGGTTGGCAAGGAGATGCTCAGCGAGTTTCAGAGAGGGTGCATGGACGGTGGAAGCGAAGATGCAGTGTCCATAACGACCTGATGCATATGCTGCGGCTAATGACAGGGCAGGATTTCCGTGACCCAAACCTTGGGTCCACCAGGACCCTGAGCCATCTAATGTGGGCGTAAGGAGATTCTCTCGGGTTGGCTCTCCAGATTTGGATTCATTTTGTGTCGACAGAGTTTGGAAGTAATCTCCAAATGCGGAATCTATAGGAAGTATTTTATCCGCTGAGAGATGCTTCATTTGAGTGAATGGATACCAGATTTTTTCGTGAGCTTTTGTGGCCATTTGTTCCAGATCCTCAATTCGTGATATATTTCGTTGATGGGAAGCTTCTAGTAGAGCTTCAATCTCGCCGGATTGAGCAACACTCGAATAGTAAGAAGACATAGATTCTTCATCCTCCTGGAGATTTGGTAATTGATTTGGTGGGGGCGGGATAACTGTTGTGTTTACACCTCTTTCTTGGAAGTATTTAGATAGATATGCATAATTTCCGTACTTTTCTTCCTGGAATATTAAGACGGAGTCTATGTCATATCCTCGGAGATGTAAACCTGTCTCATCATTAGTCCAGCACAATTAACCGGAGTGATTTTACGGTTTCCTTCAGATTTCATCCGAGCAGGAATGTTCACATACTCTCCCAAGCACTAATTGTTGCAGAAATCCCGCCTAATTTCGGATCACCAACGAGAAACACTGGCATCCTCAAAGGTCTCAGTGCATCTACTTGACTTGTACCAGAAGGTGTTGGCGAATGTACACCACCAGCACCTTCCACTATGATCATTCCTTCTCCTCTCTTTTCATTACTTTTTGTCCATTTTTTAACTTGATCTGAGATTGCAGTAACAATCTCGTGATCATTTGGTGGCTGCACGTGTTTCCAAGTTAGCGAAGGAAGGTTCTTCGATCATGTGTCTTTTCCAACCATCAAAACTAAACAATGTCGACATTTGGGTAATGGAGCCAAAATTTAATCTCTCCTAGTTATAAATGAAAGTTACCAAACACACCTTCACACCCCTTGCCGCTATGTGCGGGCTGACAGCTTCACCATATCTGAACAAGCATGCTATTTTCGATCCTTTTGCAAATTTTTCAA